GCAATGAATGGCCGGCTAATTTGTGAGATATTCTCTCCATGTGAATTCATTAAAGACTATTTTTATAAGAAATCAATTAAAAAACAAAAAGAATTCAAATAGTCGTGGGTTTTTTTTTTGAGGGTTTATGGTATAAGGAATGTTGTGCATACTTAAGATAAGTTTATGTCTGAAGAGATATAACCCTAATGCGGAAATTAGATAGCAAAAGCTAAGATAAGAACTGGAATCAACTTGGAAATAATAATATTTGAGCTTAAGAAAGTTTCACTTAAAGTCTATTGATTAATGGATGTACGATAAGTGTTTTTATGACAGATTTTATGCTAAAACGATAGAATTTTAATAGCCTAGATTGGATGTAAAACCATCGGGCTGAAAATAATACCACTAAAACCTGTAAAGATTAAAGTAATTAGCCAAACAGATATATGTACGCTTGCAATTTATGTGAAAAATTCAGGTATTGAAAGAATTTCATTTGCTGTTTATTGGTCATCAAATGGTCGACTCCGTGGAGCAGTTCTGACTTGTTATGGCCGCGAATTAGCATAAAACTCGACGTGAACAGTTAAATAATATTGTTGCTGTGGATTTTCGAGTGTGTGTACATATGTGTGTCAGTTAAGTTAAGTGCTGCCTAATGACAACTTCTGCCCTCTTCGCGGTAGTTTTTATTTTTTATTCGTATCTCTCTCTGTCGAGTGCCATGTCATGCCCATGTTTCACTCATATTGTGACAACAAAATTCATGCTGAAATATTTTTGGTCCGAAACTCGTTTCTTAGTGGCGTTTTTTTTTTGTATATATTTTTTTAAAGCGCGAATTTATTACAGCTCTTGGTCGCCGCTGCGTCGCCGCGCCATAAATATTTTGTTTACAATATAATTTAATTTATGCAGATTTCTTGTCCGCTCTTTCAGCGAACATGTTTGTGTGTGGATCAACGATTGCGGTCAAAAGAATAGTTCAATATGTATAGATTATTCTGGATTAGTGAAGTCCAAGACCCTGACTCGCGAGCCAGAATATGTCTCAATCGATTTGGCTGGAGATGCAGATTAATAGTTTATATTTTATGTAATTGAAGATCCCTGGATCCTTTTCTAGTACTAAAACTATTTTCCTGGCCACAACTGTGCGCACATGCCACACATGCATATCAAACGAAACGTAACGTTTAATGTGGGCCGAGAGGATGGAGTCAGTTTTGAGTTACCTGCTAAAAGGCCAGCCAGTCGTTAGTCGTCCGTAAGTTGGGTGCCCCTTCAAGCCGAACTGAATGGGCCTCCTCCTCGTTTCTGTCAGCATCAGCAAAAGTGCCAATGGAAGCCCTACTTACTTGGCAACGCCTGCCCCGCCCACTTGCCCCCTAATTCCCTTGGCACGCCTTGCCTCGCCTCGCCTTTCATTGATTTTTTTTTGTCCACCATTCGATCTATGCTTTGATGGGTGGGGTGAGATGGTGGCTCTGACTGATGTCTCCTGAGGTCAAGCGCTAATGGAAAACCCATAACAATTTGCATACGATTTTCTTATTGAGTTAATTAAAGACCCTATAAAAAACGGCAGCCGTTTACGGAATTTGGTATTCAGACTCTGCCGCTGCACTTAACACCTGTCTACTAAAAATACTAAAAAAAAAAACAAAAAGAAAATGGAGGGGGACTTCTGATTAAATGACAGAATAAGCCCAGTTACCATTCACGATTAAAAAAAAGTCAAGAATTTTATCTCTGGCCAGGGGATTTGCATTTCTAAAATCGGTAAAAGATAAAGAAAACAAGAGTTTGTGCAGGGTAAAATTTAAGGTTGCATTGGGAGAACATTTAAATGATTCAAAAGGGTTAAGTGCTTTAAATAAAAACTTAAACATGATCTATTTAGGTTGTGCTATTTAAGGAAGTTCCTAGTATGCCGGATATCACAATAGTTATATTTTATTTATTTATTTTCTTGAATAAACTTCTATTGAATCCCCTGCTGATCGTAATGCAAGATGGCAAATTGTGAGTTTGCCATTTACTTAACTTGTCTTACAAAACGTTAAGAGAAAAAATAACAAGAAAAGTCACCGAAAAATAAATACAAAATTAGTTGATTTGGAATTATGAAACCGTTCCGTTGTGTTTTTGTTGACATCGACAGGCCACAATCCATCCACGAGGCGACCACGACAACGACATCAACATCGAATCCGAATCAAAGTCGTCAAAGTCATGTATTTTTTCACTGGTGATTGTCTTTGGCGATCGTGAGATCGGTTTGTTTTGTGTGTCAAATGTGGGGCTTTGGAGACTGGCGCATGTCGTCGATGCATTTTGTATATCAGTTTATTTATTATTATTATTATTTGTATTTTCTGCTTCCCACAACTATGTTTCTGTGTCACTTTTTCTTTGTCTTGTCGGTGGGGGCAAAGTGGATGAACCTTGTTCCGTTTACTTATTAAACGCCTGCGTTTAATTCAATCAACTGCAATAACTGTCCGGGTGTACTTAGATGTGCATATATACTACCACAATATCAATAATAAGCTATCACCAATGACTCTTTAATATTATTGCTTGGCGTTCCTGACCAAGAGCACGTTCACCAGCAATTCTAGACTTTAGGAGGTGATTTAAAACATTTGGACCTTGTTTAAAATCTGTTATTAGATATTATTAGTATCTGGTTTTTATCAGACAAAACGTGACATCTTGGTATATAAATACAAAAAATAATATTAAACTTGAGCTTAGTTGAAGTTAAGATTATAATTTGTAAAAACGTGTCTTTTGCTTTATAATCTAAGTAGGTGAAATTAACTTTAGATGATTGATTAGAAAATGTATATAAATAATTAATTTGCTTCCTATTTTATTATAATACAATCTTATAGAATCATTTCCTCTGTCATAATATTTTAGTAGGGTATTTTAAAAGCCATGTAGCGATTTCCTAACTTCTCTGCATCCTTCTTAGACGTCATTGATGGCAATCCTGATTTAATCAATTTATTATCTTGGTATTTTCAGCATGTTTGTTTAACAAATCAATCGAATTATAATCACAGATTAACGAAATCTTAACTTAACAAGCTGCTTTCTAACGTATTATGAGAAACACACGCCCTCGGTTAATTTATGACCCAAATCCTTGCACTTCCAAAAATCTACTGAATACTACTACAAAAATAAATCTTAAGTCAGCGCCGATCATCTTTAGGTGTTTTTTTTTTTTTACTTTGTTTGTTTGGATAGCTTGCCGTATTTCCAGTCAATCATAAACAAAATCGATTGTTAGTCGCCAGCAGCAGCTGCGTTAATTTTATTTTCAATGGCTGCGTCAACATTCGATTCCAGATAAAACGGCAACGAACCGAAAAATATGTCTAAAAATGCAAACAGAAGGCAAGAAAAAGGCTCGTGGCATCGAGATATATTCCAAGAAAATGACAGACAGCAAGTTGAGCTGCAATCTGTGTATCTATAGGATTTATAACTATATATAAGCAGTGGAATATCAATAAAAAGGGGTAAAGGTGCAAAAATAATACTATCGGTCATTCTATAGACACAAGTTGGTTCCTAAATATCAATTTATTATATTTGACAGCTGATTCATTTCAATAGTTCACTCAAAACCATATTAATTATCATCCATTGCGTATATAACATATATAAGTCTACGGAAAATCAATGGAAAACACTTTTTCAGTAGTAAACTTTAGGTTTTTTAATGTTTTTATTAACGCTTAAAATAATTTTCTATATAATTTTTTTTCAATAATTACTGGTGGAATTGCAAATAAGAAATCGTTGTCCGCAATTGTATCGTTCATTGAACTTTTAAGTTTAGTTTTATAGCCCTGAAACGCACTGTCCATGGTGAATATCTATAGCATATGGCGCAGATATTATTATCTGTGTATATATTCTCCGGGAGCTTCTTCTTTAATGGCTGTGCGAATTCCAAAGCAATGATTAATTAACAGTATGCCGAAGAGAAGGAAGCCTTAAAGAAAAACAAATACAAAAAAAAATACCATATATAAATTTGCAATTAAGGGGACACATAGATATATGATTATTCAGAATACACAGAGAATTAAAAATGAATAAAGAGTAAATAAAATCATTCTTAGATTTTAATAAATATCTAATAAAGACTCCACTTCATATTGGGATATTTAAATAAATGATTAAAATAAGATCAATTACAATTTACCACAATTTATTTCTATTCTATATGAAAAATAAGAAATCATTTTCCTCAGTGCATGGATGAATGTGCGTATGTTTTGACAATCAATCCATGGCGATTAGCAATTATCATTGGAATGCGAAAATGCTGTTGCCTGATATTGAAATCGAGGCCCACAAGCAATCAGACAAAGGAGTGGATTGGATCTTGGTGCGGGAGGAGGAGGAGGAGTTGGTGGACGACGCTGTCATCGTCATCAGTTTTCGGTTTTATTTTTCTTCCTTTTGGTTTTTCGACTCTTTTTGCCGTTTTTTGTTTTGCTTTCTTGCCGCACTATGCGAATATTATTATGGCCTCGATAAGATTAGACGCTGCCAGGCAGCGGGCAATTGGCAACAACAAACAGAGCGCAGACATTCCGCCGCATGGCTGCGGTAAAAATTGGTATTTCTGCGACATTTCTTTCCACCGGAGAATCGTTGTTGTCGGCACTTTTTTAGGCAAAATGCACACAGGAAATGCTGCTAATCTTATCGAATTCCGCGCACTAAACTAACTGGCGTGGGAACAGGTTGAGATACATCTCAAGATATGGCCATTTCGAGGGAAATTCTTGAAGAATTTTTTGTCTTTTTTTACGATATATTAAATAAAAGGTTCAGTAAAAGAAAATACTAGTCTTAAATTTCTTAAAAAATTACAAATTAAATTATGTGCATTATTGAATTAGTGCAAATTATATTTATTTAATGATTTAAGAAACCCAAATCAAATTAAAATTAACCCATCTTTTCTTATCTTCCATTTACAGCTACACAAAGCCACAGACCTTTGAGGATTGTGTGGGCGATGAGCTGCCCATGGGTTGGGAGGAGTCCTACGATCCCAATATCGGTCCCTACTATATCAATCATCTGGCACAGAGCACCCAGCTGGAGGATCCACGCCAGGAGTGGAAAAGTGTCCAGGAGCAAATGCTAAGTGATTATCTATCAGCGGCACAGGATCAGTTGGAGAACAAGCGGGAGATGTTTGATGTTAAACAGCAGAGACTTCTCTGGGCCCAGGAGGAGTACAATCATCTGAAACAGGCAGCCAGTCGAAGCAGTTGTAAGTATAGAATATTTTAAGATAGATTTAGATTTAGATAGATCTTTTAAACCTATTTTAAGGTATTTCCATTTAAACTCAAAACTAAATAAGTAAGAGATATAGCTTTAACTTTAACTATACTTCCTTATAATTTGAGGCACTCTACTAGAAATTAATCAGAACAAGATATGGCCTATATTTTCCACGAATTATTTTTTGATTTCCATTGAACAACCAATTTGAAGTTTTTATTAACAAAAAATTGTTAATCGAAAGATTTACTTGGCTTATAGATTAGTTAATCTTTTCAACGAAATTTAATTATATTTAATAACTATTATTGTTAAAAATTCTATTAAAATACCCCTCCTCTCTTTTTCCAGTATGCTCTTCCTCCAGCTCCATGAGCCGACACGATCCAGAGCTGCTGAGAGCCGACCTCATGCTGGCCAGAGAACGTGTCCACCAGCTAAAGCAGGAGCTAACCCACATTACCAATGATATTTCCTACACGGAACGCGGCATGAATACCCTGTATTCCGTGGGCGAGAAGATCAATGCCCGGCAAAACGGATGCTATGACATTGCCGAAGTCCAGGCGATACGCGAGGAAATGCTCAAGGTGCACAAGTCGCTGGTGTCCGGCGAGAAGGTGCGCGAGGAGCTCATGCGCAGCCTAGTGCAGATCAAGAACGAGCTGAGTCGCCAGCAGATCAGCGAGGAGAACTCGGACCTTGCCTCGCCCTTCGACCGGGTGTGCGTGGCCAGCCAGACGGATCTGTGCGGATCCGTGTCGGGCGACAAGCTCAACGGAGGAGCCCGCTTTGCAGAGATGGCCAAGACTAAGCTGCAGTATGCCGAGTGGCGTAAGCACATCAAGAAGCTGCAGCAGCAGCTGGCCGACCATGTGGAGCGCATTGAGCCTGGTCAGCTGGAGTCTGACAAGGATCGCATTCTGTTGATCCAGGAGAAAGAGAAGCTGCTGAACGACCTGAACAGCATTTCGGTGAAGTCGCGCAGCGAGGAGGAGAAGCGGGTGATTCAGCAGACCCGTCACAAACTGGAGGAGGACCTCAAAGAGGCTTACGAGGCCAACAACACATGTGTGGCCAATAGGTTGCGCTTCCACGAGGAGAAGCAGCTGCTGCTGGACAAGCTGCAGGAGGCCCTCAAGTCTACCAAGCTGCTGGAGGAGCGACTCAAGTCCTTCTCCTCGGAGAGCACCTTCTCCATTAGCAGTGGCAGTAGCCTTGGCTCCCTGTCCACTGCCAGCAGTAAGAGTGCTCTGAGCTTCACCGACATCTACATAGATCCCTTCGCGGTGGATTCACCCATCGATGTGGTGGATCTGAGGCGACGCTCGCAGCGATTGTTCCAACAGCGACTGCATCCTGTTCTGCAGCAACAGCAGTCCTCGGAGGTCTCGCTTTCGCCGCGCAGCAGCCTGTCCATGGAAACGCCGCCCGCCTCGCCGATGAAGTATAATCCGGGAGCGGATAATCAAACGCCGCAGACCCTGAAGGAGGAGCCAACCTATGCCAATGCTCTGCCCGCCCCGCCCGCCTACACAGCCCCGCCGCCAGTCCGAGCCCGTCCCTACGACCTCGACTCCACGGTCCTCGATTGCATGATGCTGGAGGCAAAGCTACAGAAATTGAATTTGGGTGCAACGCCCCTAACTCTGGCCGCTTCGGCTCCACTCTCACCAATTTCGGAGAAGCCCTCGCTGCTGGATCTGCCGCAGGAGATGCTCAGCCGATCGTCCTCCACATCCAATACGAGATCCGTTTCGGCGGCTGTTAGCAATGAGTCGGTGGCCGGCGATTCCGGTGTCTTTGAGGCGTCGCGTGCCCATCTGCCGCGCAAGGAGCTGGCCCAAGTCCAAATTGGACTCAAGTATCTGAAGCAGGAGGGTGTGTTGGTGGTGTCCCTGGAAAGGGCCAACAATTTGTTGGCTCTGTGGACAGCCTCGTCGGACAACTCGCAGGTGTAAGTATTTTTTTTTAAATCTAGTTATAAGTATAAATATTAATTTTAAATATTATTTAGATATCTGCGTGCCGCTTTGCTGCCGAATTCACTCACCTCCATTCGGACCAAGGCCCTGGGAGATTTCCAGAAGCCTGTCTTCAATGACACCTTTGCAGTGCCCATAACGCTGGACAAGCTGCTGACCAAGAGCCTGCAGGTCACAGTGGTCACCATGACGGGGCAGAAGGAGGAGATTATTGTAAGTATTTTTTTTCTTTTAAAATATTTCTTAAAAAGATCATTTTTTAACACATTTCTCTATATTCCAGGGCACTGTTCAGATCAGCATGGCCGAGTTTAATCCGGAGGATTCCACCCTGAAGTGGTACAACGTTCTAAGCTCCAAGTTCATTCCCAGCTTTGAGTCCTTGGACATTCCCTCCACCAGTGCCGCAGCAGCGGCAGCCGCTGTTGCTGCCGCCAGTTCCAATTCCATCACGAGTGTTGTCATTCGGGAGGAGTCTTCGGATGAGTCCACCATCACCTCCTCGCAGACTTCCACCCTGACACGCAATCAGGCGCCGCCCATGGAGCTGCAGGAGCAAATTGCCGAAGAACAGCCGGAACAGGGACGTTCCAATGAGCAGCAGTGCAGCGACGACGACGACGATGATGATGACGATGAAGAGGAGGAAGAGGACAATGACAAGCAGCTAATCAGCGATGTTTGCGTTGGCCTACTGAACTGTAAGTAATAATCTACTCTTTTAATTAGTTTTACACTATAATTTCATTGGTTTTCCTACCCACAGCCAACTGCATGCTAGATGCGTATCTGCAGAACATGAAGCAGGAGTTTGCCGACAAGGAAACAAACACAGACTGCGCCTTCCTCCCAGAGAAATCTCGTGGTCAGTCGCAGCTAATGGACGACAGGCCCGTGAAAAGATCACAGACATTTACGCCCTCGGCGGCCGTTAGCAAGAATCGTTACAATTGCCGCCTAAATCGCAGCGACTCCGACTCAGCCATGCATTGCGGAGTGGCTCCACATACCTTCCAGCGCGGCGCCGCAGAGCGACGATCCCTGCGCTTCCATACCAAGGCACCCAAGTCTGTCACAAGTAAGTCAATTCAGGATTTAAGAATAAGAAGAGGAATCTTATATTAAATAAAATGTATTTTTAATTCTAGAACTACATACTCACATACCCCGCACCAGTTTGGACTTGGAGCTTGATCTGCAGGCGCAGCACAGCAAGCTCTACTTCCTCAACGATCAAATTGCCAAGCTGCAGAACCTCAAAGAAGTGTAAGTTAAAAATTAAAAACCCCTGAAAAGAAACCAGGACTCATTGTTCTCAACAGTTTGCAGAAGGCCTGCGAGAACAAGGATCCATTGATTGCCGCCTGGGCCATTGAGAATGAGGAGTTCCAACGCCTGGTGGCCCGCGCTGATCCCGCCAAGTGTCCCGAGGAGCGCCAGCTTCAGAAGCTGCTGATGAAGACCGCCAAAGAGATTCACAAGCTGCGCAAAACCAAGGTGCCCAAGGGCTGTCCCGATCTAGTGTCGTTCAAGTAAGTCATTCGAGTCTTTGGATTATTTATGAAAATATTTATTTATATATTTAACTTGGTTTTCCCAGGGAGAAGATCACCTTTTTCACACGCAAGGGTCTGTCGGTGCCGGAGCTGCCCATTGAGTTCACCCTGCCGGAGGCCAATCCCATCGAAGAAGAAGAGGAGGAGGAGGACGAAGATGAGTTCTACAATTCTGCTGAGACGGCAATAGCCATCAATACGGCTTTGGTGGCCAGCAGCAACAGGAACAAGAATCTCAGTGAGCACCATCACCATAGAGCGGTGACCGGTGCAGTGCCCAAAATACCAATTGCAGCTTCTGCTGTTAGTCCAGCTGATGTAGCAGCTGCCTCTCCTGCTGTTACACCTTCTGCTACACCTGCTGCCTCTTCTGCTCCTGCTGTGGCCAATCCTGGACCAGCTCCAGTTCCATCCACTGATGGCGACGCCACGCCAGAACAACAGCGCTACGACTACATTGTCGATCGCAACTATGGCGTGGAGGTGTAGCCCCCTAAATACCACCACCATCGCAACATCTCCTCCCCACCATATTCGCTGTACATTTTTTGTAATTAATTCTAGTATTTATTTTCATTAAGCGAGAAAAAGTATTTATGTGTAAAAAGAAAAGAAAGCAACAACTGATGTAACAAATATTCTGTGCCTTATAGAGTGAACGTGTGTGTGTGAGAAAGAGCGACGCAAGAGAAAGAACCATATGCTAGAAATGTTAGATATAAATATAAATCTACATAGATCTAAGCTCCTATTTTATAACTAGAATTACCCCATAGTCAGTTGTACAAATTGACCCCCACTGATGACCATTTAGAAAAGCCAATAAGCTTACTAAGCAACCAACCCGCCACTACCCCCCGGAATCCATTCACAAAATGTAACCATAACGCGCACATTGTGCGTTTAATGCCTACTCCTCCGCCGAAATTCATATTGAAAGCCCAACTGTACTTTTAAGACTTGAGTGAAAATATATACGAATGTTTATATGAATATTTTTTGATACGCTATCCTAGCAGTAGTTATACCGATTATAATATGCCCCTGAAACATGAATGGAACGTGAAATATTTATTGTATTGACGGAATCGAAACCGATCGCCTAAGTTAGTGTTTAGCTTGCGTTTTTGTTAAGCTCTCAACAAACAAAATTAAAATTTTTTTTATAAAAAAAAAATCCTATGCTAACGAAAAACTGAAAAAAAAAATCATAAGAAAATACACACACAAAAAAATATATATATTGAATGTACCATATTAGATAATCGTCACTATATATTAGCTATAAGAGCCTCCCCCTTCTAACTCCCGAAACAAAAGAAGGAAAATATTAAATGAAACCTTGTTATGTGCTTCCTCTTCAAGCAAACCTGTTAAAACTGTTGTGTTTTATACGAAATGAAACGAAATTAGCCACGGATCTAGTTTAGTTGCGGTTTCAAGGGCTCTGTGCCGCCCCAACCTTGCTGTTGTTTATGTTTTCTTCACTAACCCACGCGAAGCCCCCCCCCCAGGACCCTTCCCACCCGCAGATTTAGTGCGTAGTAAATATAAACTGAATGAGAGTCCCCTTCACCCTCTTAAATATTTTTTGCTATACTTTAGTAACTTTAGTTTTAATAAATTATATGAAAGTGAACACATGTATATTGTAATTGTGCAATAAACAAACAAAAAAAGATACTGACATAACTGAAGACAATATGGTTTTAATATTTAACAAAAACGAAGATAATGTTGGTCTAAATTTCAGCTTAAATATTAAAATAGCGAGTTTATTATTTAGAAACGGACGAAACTTGGCTAAATCGAATCGCCTGGTTATTCTTTTAGTAAATAATAATTATAAACAACAGCAGCCAATTGATCTAGTCATACCCATGTTTTATTTCCATTCCAGGAAGTATTTCATATAGCTTATTATTCTGAGATTTTTAATATTAGCCAAAATTTCGATTTTAAGATTATATAAATATTAAGATTAATCGAAAGTTTCTGTTCTCTTATCCTTTTTTATTTTGACAAAAATGTATTGATTCTCAAATTTCCAACTACAAGGGCATAAAAACTTTGGCTATACGAAATAAAAAGAGATTTTTGATTAACGCGCCTATTATCGATAGTCGATAAAAACTAGCACGGCCCTAGAGATGTGCCTGATATTGCAGACTCCGCCTCCAGCACGCCATTTTCACATCACTAATAAGCAAGCACGTTTCTGTTTTGTTTTTAAAATCTTTAACAATCTCAGAAAACAGAAATAAAATATATAACTAAAAATGGAGGAGGTCATACAGGTCCTTGACAACATGCAGTGCGATGTGTGCGGCGAGAAGACATTCCAGGAGCGTGAGGGCTTCTTCTACTGCATCGAATGTGGCACACAGAAACAACAGATTCAGGCGGTGGACCTCACCGCTGATGAGGACTTCAATGAAACCGCCGGTGGAAAGCATACCAGCCGGGTGATTCGCCAGCCAAAGAAGGTGGCCGAGGCAAACAACGACATCACCTCGTGGGAGTTCTACAATTACGTGCTGCGCGGCTTCCTCCAGGAGCTGCTGGACATGGGCGCCAAGCCGGAGCTCAAGCTGATGACCCTGCAGGTGTGGGCGGCGTACATGAGCCAAATGGAGGTGGCCTTCTGCAGGAGCAACGACGGCCTGCCCAAGCTCAATGTACGGGTACTGCACAGGTAAAAGAGAGGATTAGGAAGATTTAATTACTAAATATTTGACTAAAAAACACTATTCCCTTAGAGATGCACGCATCATTTATGACTACAAGCGGGCAAAGCTTAAGAAGATCAGAAAGGGCATCAAGTCTGCCGATCCCAATGATGAACGCGCCAAGCTTCGTATGTGGAACAAAACCAAGGTGATTGTTTATACTCAAATTAACAAGCTTTATTCAAGACTTAAGTTTACTATGTGAAATAGAATGCATTGGGGAACAAGAGGGGCAGCAGCATTACAAGGGTGCGCGGCTTGGCCTCATCCATTGGTCCCACCAAAGTCCCTTCAACTGGCTCAGAAGCTATAGAATTTCGATGTTAGCTTAAAATATCTTTTAGAAACTAAAACATTCTCGTAGTACTCACTCTCATTGGCTTCTTGGGGTGCTCCCGGAGCCGGCTGAGCATATGCCACCGCCAAGATGGCCAAGCAAATCAAAACCAGACGCAGAGACATGTTTGAAGCAAGTAAAGCTGCTGCTACTGACTTATCTTTGGAGATGTTGTGCTTATATAGTCAAGAACTCCAACGCTTTGGCTATGCAAATCACATAATTACCCCGCTCATTAGCTAGAGTTCCTGGTACTGTCAGCTCTTATCTCGAAACTTAAACCTTGCTCTCCTTTACAGCGCAAACTCGACGCCTCGGGCTACACCAAGAGTGGAGCTAAGAAAGCAGGCCCCGGCGGACAACAGAGTATAGGCATGCGTTGGTCCTGGAAAGCCCGTAAGACCCTCAAGCGCACGATGTCCTTGAAGCATCTGGATAAGCACAGCAGGGTTAGCAGCATGCAGTGCCATGGCCTGAGGCCCAAGGCCAAGGAACTTCACAACTTTGATCGAAACATTTACAATCTGAATTCGCACAAGTTGTATGTGGTGTTGGCCATAGCCCTCAACATGGTTGAAGACGACATTCAGCTGACAGATTTGCTGCGGCTGGTCGAAGAGGAGCACCTGACCAGTCGGTATATGCTTAAGTATCTGCCCGCAAATGTGGCCGCCAAGGGAAAGACGCTGATCAAGGGGATGGAGCTTGGCAATCTAAGAGACCAGTGCTCATACACGGTGTGTTTTTTTTCCCTTTTTGTTCTTAATCACTATTTTAATATTTTTTTGTGTCTTCCAGTACCTTCGCAACCACGTGGGCTATATGGCGCACTTTATAAATCTGAGTGAATTTCAAAAGCCCAATCTTCTGGCCCTGGCCGAGCGCTATGTCCTTGAGCTAGGCCTACCTCCAAGGGTGGCCAAGTATGTGGGCAGCTTGTTAGACCTGCATCCGCCACGCTTCTCTTCTGCCCAGGATTTTCACGTATATCCGCGCTATGAGCCCAGGGTGATGGCCTACATCGTGTACGTGATGAAATTGCTCTTCGGTCTGGACGATGTCAAGGAGAGGAAAATCTCAATGTCAGCGAAACAAATCAATGAAGAACTACAGAATGCTGGTGGAGATGAACCTCAAGTTCCCCCACTTTTTGTATTCACCGAGTGGATGCATTTCGTAGAGCTGAGAAAAGAAATTGTTGCTCAATACAATCAGAGCTTTGCTCGTCGCTTTGGTGTGGCAAACAAAACGGATTGTCAGGTAGATGATTTTCTTGTAAAAGAGCGCAAGCAGAAGGAGCAGGATTACGGCCACGACGAGGTGCAGGGAACTCAGGCTATGCAGCGTCAATACGAGAATATGACCCACACCATCGAGGCCCTGCTTAAGCAGCACTTTGGCGAGTCCATTGAAGATAGCGTAGCCAAAAATCACATTGAGTTTCAGCCCAGCCTGACTCCCGCTCACACATACTTCCAACGGATCCTACATCAAGTGCAGGACGCCACCCTGAACATCCAGATTCCCGACTTCATGCACGTGGATCACTCACAACGGAACCTAGATCCCTTCGTCGGGGAAACCAACGAATTAAAGCAGTATTTCGCTCAGCGCGGGTTAAAGATGCATGTGCTGGAGGTCGCCTGCCAGGAAGACATCGAAAAGGTGGGTATTTTTCAGCCCCTTGCGGCTTTGACTCCAACTACGCGGGAATTCCGTGCTAATTGTGACATTAAGTCCGAGGTATGGATTAATGAGCTTAGAAGGAAGGAGAAGCGACCGGACTTCCAATTCCGTCAACCCACAGCCACCTATGGCGCCGCCTATCTGGCCAGATTACAGCAGCGACAGGCGATGCGGGAACGACTGGAGGCTTCCAATCCCTTTTGGGAGATCACAGCGACACCCAGCTACCTGATTAAACTGAATAATGATGAGGAGGTTCTCCTCGACACCCTCAGCTCGTTACAAACCTTCGAAGAGGAGAACATGGATCCGTTGGAAGTGCCCCTGGATCTGCCACGTCGCCATCTGGAGAAGAAGCTGATTAACAGCAGCGAGTCGGAGACAGAATCGAATGGCATTTTCGGGGAAGATTCGGAACAAAAGCCACCAGTCCTGGAAGAGTTAGTGCTGCAAATCTCCAACTTTGACTGCTGGCTCCTGCATGGCTTTACGAGCAAAATTCGGGAGGTGGACAAACGAGCGCTGCGTCCGTATTTCCCCTACTCCTTCCGCTGGCTCCTCGAGACGTGCGCGGCCACCATCGGCGTGGGATGGGATGTGCTATACGAGCAACTTATGATCCTGGAGGTGATGTTCCACCACGGCATCAAGGACTGGAGTAACTACAAACACCTTTTGCGCATAGAGTCCACCAGTTCGGAGAAAGACAGGCAATCGCTGGTTAGGGCATACAAGGATTTATGGTAAAGAACAGAGCTGAGGCAGTATGAAGACGATAGGAAGTTAAATAGTCCCACAACTAATAACTATTATTGAAGCTTTGATAAGGACTCGGGCCTTTTGACTATTAAATATATAAAGACACAGCTGGCAGGCTTTTAAGTAATTTTTAAAGAACTTTGAACAAGGACATATGCTGGTCAGGAAGTACAGGGGATCTCTAGTGAAATGTGATTTAATAGAGGCCATCACAGCAATTGAATCTGTTTTTTAAGCAGCTCCAAAAGAGTAAACAAATCACACCCACTCGTAAATAAATGACAACAGCTGTGGACAAGGTAATAGTAAGATTTTCTAAGATTTTAAGTAGTTTTCCAGGAGCCAATGAATTACAGATTTAAACTCTCAGATATAATTATTAGTACCTCTTTTGTGTATATTAATGTTATTATTAATATTAACTAATTATTATTATTTTTTTATACAAAATTTTTTATTAATAGTGTTTTTTCATTACTGAATAAACTTAAAAAAAAATATTATTTTAACAAAATACTATAAAAGTTAATGTTTTAATTAAGTAAATTATTCTTTTGCACTCCACTTAACTGCTATTGTCGTGAGCGCGACTGTATGTGCGAGAGAATTAACATCAATATCAATAGGCAAATTAGCGTTTATCAGAACAACAACAATAGTATTAGCAGCAACAATATGCGTGTCGCGGTTTTGTTTACAAAAATCTTCTTCAAAAGAGAGCGCCGGCTGCAGAGAGTGAGAGTGAGCAGTTGCGGAGAACAGTGTTGTCCATTTAGCTTTAAAAAGTAAATTCTGACTATATGAGAATTAAGAAGCATCAGTATGTCCTTTAAAACTTTCTACTCAATTAAAATATGCAAGCTTAAATAAATATATATTTTTTGTTAAATTTTTTATATTTTCCAACCAATTTTTGTGTTTTAAAAGGGGAGCACAAGGAACTTTCAAAACTAAAACGGAAACACTTCAAATTGGGTCCTTGAAATAAATCCGCAAAGGATAAAATTAAAGGTCTCCGATATTTGGGTTGTAATTTCTATACTATACTATACCTTTTTTTAAATGTAAAATTAAATTTAAATTAAATGTAACCATTAATCATTATTGTTCCATGACTTCTACATTTTTTAAGACATGAATTACCTTTCCCCTTAAAATAATATTTTTCAGCAGCGATTCTACAGGGAACTAGCTTTTCTATACTTTCACTTGTTGATCTGGCTTTTATTTATGGCTCCAAAAAAGCTGTCATCTCTGGTGGGCGAACGGTGAGAGGCGCAGTCCGCAAAGAAATCATAGGCGCTTTTCAGTGCTAATTTTAACGTCGCCGCGTTGACGGTTTCGCCTTTTTGCGGTTTCCTTATTTTCCACTTGCTCCCGGGCGCTGAATTCAATTTAAATTAGCTTACATTGTGCCTTTGTACGCCTTTTGCCAGTGTGATAACAACAAATAACAAATGAAAGCCGCCGAGTGCGAAGAAGTGAAGTAAAATCGCATGTGCAGACAGGAATTTTAACCGTTACAACAGTGTGGAGAGAGAGAGAGAGTGAGAGACGATCTCAAGGCGCAGAAAATGAACAGAACATAAAAATAAAAGGAAATCCAACAACGAAATATCAGAGGAATATTTAAAAATAGCCAAGTGCATGGGCAAATTATGACATATCTAAAAACAGTCAATTAAAATAAAAACAAGCGTTCATGTTCGGATTCGTCGCTGTGATTCTTCAGGTTCTCGATTTCTGATATCCGCTGCGATTTTCCTGTCTTTGTGGTTTGGACTCTCCAGAAACCGCTGGTGAGTTGAGTTTTGGTACCCCGCTGCTGCTGCATAAAAGTGCTAAAATGTTTATTAATTCGCGCGCGTGTGGTTTCCATTCAAATGCCACGGATATGGGCAAGACAGCTGTTTCAATACCACCAAAAAAATATGCCTGGAAATGCTAAGAGTTTGGCTTTTAGCTGGTTTCTAGACTCGTTACGTCAACCTTTTTGCAGGGGGTGTCTAAATCCGACGAATGAATCTCTAGTTTCTCTACACTTGGAATAAAACTTGGCTGGTCCTGAAAGGGGGGATTTTGGAGCACTTAAAAGTTAAGGTTTTCTTCATTATTTTTTTATTTTTGGTCATCCATTCCGGCTCCAAAAATATTTTACAAAATAATTTTACCTAAAGATGTTTTGCTTAAAAAAAAATCAATTTAAAGACCGGTAAAATATAACAGAAATATTTATTATACTAGGGATTGCCAAAAAATGTTTACCTTTAAAATCGTACAACAAAAATTATATTTAATATTAATTAATATTAAATTTCATATTTTTTGTTGATATTAAAGTATTCATTTTTTATGGTTGAGTACACCTAAATTGTTTTAATAACAGTTTTAAGTTTTATCTTGAACATGACAGCTTAAGACCTATTTTATAAAGACAAAAGTTAGGAGTACCAAAAATGTCCCAAAATAATGAAACTTCTTTTCCTAGTGTATCTTACTTTTAGCCCCACCAAATCCAAGTTTCACTTGTTGACGTTCTTGGCGGTTTTTGAGGTTAACAACATTTTCAGGCGGCTTTGTTTCGGTCGAAACCAAACAATCAACAACAACTATTGACTCGCACTGGCCATGTTTAGACGGCGAGCAACTCAGTCGGCTTACAAACAATTAATAGCTACTATTTTGTCACTTGCTGACTTTTATGCCAAAATATTTGCCTAAGCTGTTCGCATTAGCAAATCGAACAAATTGCTGAAAAAAGCGAACAAAACCACATACACTCGTATTTATCTTGATTCCAATTCTCCATGTGACTGCTGTGTATCATTATTTGTGGGAGCTTATAATTTGTTTTTCCAACTGGAGTACGAAACCTCCTACATTTGGTCCTGTACTTATTTGTTTTCTTTATTAATACAATGGGTCGGAAGCGTTTGTTTTTGGGTTTTAATTATTAATATGTGTAGTTAGAAAGTGATAGGGGTTTGAATTATTCATGAATAATTATTTATTGTGATCATTTAAAAGGATACGATTTAGAAAAGCCAAAAATTTGGAAATATTTATAACCGGAAAGTCAAAGGAAAGTCAAGTCGATTTAAGCTGAACTATTTCTTATCAAGATTCTTTTTAAAATTTGAAAATTATTTATGTATCTATTACATTTATACATCACTTATTTTTACTTTATGAATACCCTAGTATATATTTGATGGGTAACAACTAGATTCTGAATTCTAAAGCTTAAAAGAGACCAAAATAAACAAGGGGGCCATCACCCTCACTTACTGCTTCCGTTTCCTTTAAATTACGTTAAATTAAATTAGTAAATTATTAAAATTAGATAATGATAATAAGAGATAATCATAAATAGGTGATAATAATGATATATTGACTAAATAAGAGTACATATTTAAATTAAATAGCGACTGCAAATGAGTTTTAAATACTTATAAAAACCCTAAAGATAGTTTATCTTATAAAGATAGAAGAAATCTGTTATTTGAGATTTTATTTTCCTAATTATTTTCCTATTCTGTTTCCTTAAACCCACTGTATGGAGCAATATATATGATGAGGAATGGTGTTTGTCAAATGCTAATTAGTTTCATTATAGCCGACAGTCACGAGCGGAGTGAGACGGGCAGGAGTGCGCTGAGGTTGAGGGGCCATGAAGTGTATTAATTGGATGCGCCGAAACAGTTTGATAAGCACATTATTGGTCGCATTGATCCGACCGGACATATGGTAGCAATCACGTCCGCCCCAACATCTGATTGTTTATCTTTATATTGTTTTTTATATATCCCCCCCCCAAAATGCGGCTGTCCTGTGCGTACCGCCAATGCCTGTCAAACCGTCAACGCAGCGCGTACCGGCACAAGAGACACTTTGATGGACATATTATAGACAGTTTGGCAAACGCGAGCGCATGAGAATAGCTAAATATAAACAATCTAGCAGTAGCAGAGCAGGCCCCCTTCCTCCTCCACATTAAGGGAAAATTAAGCAAACCAGACACGAGAAGGGTTGACAGATCCAAAAATAAGCAAAAAGCCAGCAATGATTACCTGGTTGGACTTTGGCTGTTGAGTGTTCTGTTGTGGCAACGATGTGGGGTAAGAAGGAGGCTGTTGAATCCAAATGGGTCTCGTGTGGCACGTGTTCAGGTGGCTCTAAAACTGTTGGACACACTATTTATAGGCTTTTTAATTATGTGAATTTGGTAATTGCCTCAAGCGGAATAAATATCAAACGACCGAGGGCATCCGGAAGTTCACTGAGAGTAGAGTTGTTGCTTTAATTAAAATTTAGATAAATATTGATTTATTTTGGGTTGATTTTAAATAAATTCATGCATTAAACATTGACTTAAATGGCGTATAAAAAGTACATAAATCAAATTGTTTAGTTTCCATTAGACTTATAAGTAATATTATCTAACTTTCTAGTCTAATTTAATTATTAAATAATAGTTCTTTTATTTATAATAATTTTTTATTTGAATAATTAAGGCTTACCCTTTTAAGAATTAAGTATTTATAACATTTCAATTAATATACCTCTTAGACATAGCCTTAAAAATTCATTCAACATTTTGTTTTGAACAAAAATCACCTTTACAAAAATTTCACCTTCCTTTTGCTATCGCCCAATGCTAAACATATATATATTTAAAAACATTTAAAAAAAAAAGAAAGAAAGATTTGGTTTATTTGTCTAATTTTATTTTTGAGTTCCTTTTCCCGCTTCCGCTGCCTGTCTTTGTCATTTCCCGAACAACACGAAGAACAACAAAATAACGCAGGCATGATTATTTTCTTGAAAAACGCTCTCTCTCTATTTATTTGCTATTGTTTTGGTTTTTGTTGCTGTTGTAATTCGGGGGAAAACAAAGCTGGCGCTTGTCTCTGCACTCATTCACATGCCACATACTCTTTAATAGACCTTTCATTTCATTTCTAATGTTTATTTTCGTTTCTCTACAACGTTCTGGTGGGTTATTTTTGAGCTGCAATGACATTTATGGTAGAACAGTAAATGTGGGTTAAGAACAACTAGAACAATATATAGAATAGATGGAGTATATTTTAATTTTCATTTTAAATTGTATTTTCCACAATAATTATCTTAGTTTTATTTATGATTCCCACTTATTTGAGTTTGAATTATATTTTTATATATTGTTTAATATTAAACAGTGTTATGTTAGTTCTTTAAAGTGTACAGAACTTCGACGTATACGTAATATTTGTTTGGTTTCAAGTAGTTTACATTATTTGTAGATTCTTTGTCATGTTTAACAGAGTTGCCCAACCATGATAGATGATAAACAAAAGTTAATATCTCTGACAACTTGAAAACACATAATAAATTTACCCATTCAAATGTTATTTGATAAAGTTTTTATACCCACTATCCAGTAGATGGCGAGTGTATTATAACCAGGGACAAATTTTAAGTGAATAACCTTAGATGGCTCGATAGACCTAGATCTTAAATTAATACTTTTACAGAAAATTTAAAATTAAAATTGTTAGTATTATATTTTAAGGCACTAAATTAACAAGCAAACTAAGTATACTGAGTATCTTAAAGTCAAGCACATTAAACTTCAGCTTTTGTTCTTGTTATCTATAATGCTTATGCGATATTTTATTTATTCTTATTATCTTTTTGTCACTTTATGGGAGCAGGTCTTTGAATATCTTATCATCTAAGAAGTAAAAACCTCCTGCAGTATTCCATAGCCAACTTCCACTGTATTCCCCATAACGAAGAAGTGGCAAGGTTTTTTTAATACGTGATTGGGCTGCCGCACTCACGTTTCTACGGCTACGAGGCGAGACATTGAAGACGCAGTCCATTAATTGGATTACAATTCACCGCATTTTTGCCCATGTTATATTTTTTTCTTGTCCGTTGATTTTTGTTCTGCACGTTGGCCTGCCTTCTTCCATCTTCATTCTTCTTGGCCATTAGTCATACATGTGTTTATGTCGCGGGCTCCTCAACTTGTTGCGTACACCCCGGATTTGCATGTGGATATACATATGTATGTTCATACGTATATATCTCCTTAAATGGACGTGGGGGAATTTCGCCTTCATATTGTAACTGTATATCCGTATTGCGAAAATGTGTGAAATAAAATCGTACACACTGCCGCCGACACAACATTGACACATGTCGTGTGTGTGTGCCGGTGCACAAATGGGCACAACATTATAGTAGCAACAAAACACCAAACATTTCTATGGGGGGGGGGTTTACCTTATTATTATTATTATTTATTTTAAAGAAGTTCTTCCTAAAGCTATAAGTTCAAAAGACATAAGTTTATGCGCACAGGACCTTAAGGAAGTTGTAAGTTGTAAAAATATGGAATAAGAATAACAAATAGGACACAAAATTCAAATATTTTTTAAATTTTTATAAGGCTTCCCTGGGTTTTCAGAATGAAGTTAAAATTATAGAAAAATAAATAACAATATTTAGAGCCGATTTCTATTCTCACCAAGAAACATTTTAAATTGACAGGGTGTTCTTATTATTCTAAACTCTTATCAAATGAATTTCTATCCTATTTTATTTAACAGGTTCATTGAACCGCCCAAGAAATGTACTGAAATGTTGTACATTATTAAATGTATTTATCAAAACCAACATTTTACAGCCATCATAAAAAAAGTCTTTATAACTTGTTATGCTTGTAACTTGTTTTTACCTTTAAGAATTCATAATCACAAACAAACTTCACCTGTTTTTTCAATAAAAAAAACAAGGCAAAGTACCTTTTCTGGGTGGATCCTAAAGCTGGAAAAGAATCAATGTTTAAGTGGTGTTGTACATATGCAAAAATCCCTTTTAAATAAATTTAATATTACAAAAACACATACTAAAAGTGAAAAGAACACAGCTATACAGTTATAGTAGTTTTATATAACATATAAAATTAACTATGAAATAAGAATAATATAAATTAGTTTATATTTAAGATTTTTTTTTCGTTTAGAATTAATTTTAATATTGTTTTAAACTCAATTTTATTTCAAAGCCTTAAACGAATGCTTTCTGCTGTTATTGTTTGTTCATGGCCATGAATCAAGTATTAATTTGACCAAAACTGTTTTATGATACAGATGTCGACGAAATTACTAGTTAAATATGTTTTTGTCTTTCCCAAAATTCTCTTGTGCACCGCTAAAAATTTTCCACTCTGACGTTTTCGCGCGGTGCTGCTGCCTTCCTTCCTTCTCACAGTTGGAAACTCAAATATTTGAGTTGGCGATTAGCGAAATTGCTTTTTGTGTAATTGTTAATTGGAACGCCTGAGCCAGTTTAAGAAAAAAAATATAAGAATTTCGGAATATTATTTCGATTGCTGACGGAACGAAATAAATTAAATGGCGTGCTATTAAAAACAAAACCACAAAATAGATGAAGACCAGGCAGACACACCTCTCTTGCGGCTGGCCGAAACATAACAAAAAAAAAACTTAAACTTAAATTTATTAAACACGCAGGCGGCGGAATTTAATTCAAAAGCCGAAAAGCAGATGTTTTGTTCTCCTTTGCACGCAGACGTAATTTCTAAGGTAAACAAACGACAAGAGAGACGACGACGACGACGATTCATTTGCACAACCCATTTGTTTTTTGGGGGAGATGAGGTGAGCTCGAGGGCTGGCCCGCGATCGCCGGAGAACGCCACCGAGAGCGAGAGGTGTGCGACAGGTGTTAATTACCCGACAAATTCAAAAACACGCAGCCCGCTCATGGGACCCGTACTCACCTATCCGCTCACGGCCCACCTGCATTATACAATCGGTGTGTGTATGCAGTTGACTTGCTAATAGATTCGATCATTCAATTTGCTTGCAGATCGCCGGACAGCTGCCGGGTACATAATATCCACCTTCGCACACTCCGGTAGCCGCCGCCATGGGACGCTGGGGCCGGCAGAGTCCGGTGCTGGAGCCGCCGGATCCGCAGCAGCTGCAGCAAGCATCAGCACCAACCCCCATCCTACCGCCGCGCACCTTTATGCGCCAGTCGAGCATCACCAAGATCGGCAACATGCTCAACACGGCCATCAATATAAACGGGGCCAAGAAGCCGCCAAGTGAGTAAATATCTGTTTTGACCTGATTTCAGATTTTTCGGGAAACGTGCAAGAGAAAAATAGGTCAGGGTTAGCTGGTAAATGGGTGATATCTTATTGATAAATGGTGTCAAGTAGAGAAAGAAGAGGATCCTCTTAATCAGGACGGTGTTTTGATTGTATTTTTATATTATCAACATTTTTTGGGACTTCAAAATATGTACGTAATATGATTCAATTTTAAAGTTATTAATAGCAACGAGTCATGACCAGGTGGGAGCTATCCAGGTCTGTGGGTCTTCACTTTTTTTATTTTTAGATCTGTGTTCGGATATTAAAATAGGTCAGGGATCATATTATAACTTCTTAACTTTAAATATGACCTAAAAAGGCATAAAAAGTTAAGATTATATTTATATAACTTTTTTTATATATTGTTAAAGACGAAATTAAAATTGTATTTTTAATAATTTCCACAATTCAAATTCGGTAAGGTTTTCCGCACAATGTCGCAAGGTTGCCACTCCGCCAATCTTAATCAGAGTTACCCACCTTTTTATACAAGTCGGTGTCCAATACCTCCACCTTCTTTAGGCCGAAATTATACCGATTTGCACAGTTAGTGTCCTTTATCGATAACAGATTACCACTCAATGTGCTGCCAGCTTGTTAAACTTTCAGAGATTTTTTAGGCGAAAAGCCAAAATTGCATCTGGCAACACTGCAGCTCTAGCAAAGTGCGAAATTTGCAACAAAATTTGTACTTCCATTTTGCGTTGTATTTATTGCAATCCGTTAGTTACTAAATAAGTTAAAACGGCGACCGGAGCGTGTATATAGTACGTAAAGTGCGTGTTCGGCAAAATATTAAGTGGAATGCTTGTGCAAAAGCCACACTCACACACATTCATATTACGACGCAACGACGAAGCAGTGCAGCAAAAGAGGCGGCAAAAACGGGAAGAAGAGGCAGCAGAGAGCGGCGGTGAATCGCAATCGGGAAAACAGACATATTTCGCGTCAATCTTTATTTTTGCCATATTAGATTTTCGGCGTTCTAAAATAAACACAGCAAACATAGCATAAAGCGGGTGTTGCAACAAAGCTATCGACCATTGATTGTGCGTCGTTTTCGAAGACAAGAGGGAAGCACCGGGATGTGCAAGTCACGCGGTTTTTAGTTTTTTCCCTTCACCTAATCGACATGCATAAAAAGTAATCAAAATAATATTCTGTGTGCACCATTTTGAAGGTTAGATTTCGCGTATATATTTCGCTCGGAATACGCGATAAAACAAAGGCAAAAGCGGGCGGCGCAAACGTGTCTCTGCATCAGTATGCTTTTGTGTGTGTGAGTGGTTTGTATTTGTTTTGGCAAATGCAATAAATAATAATTAATATGGATTAGGTGGCAAATATTACGTTTGTGATTAATTCGCGTTTTATCGGTGTGAAGTTATTTCCCTTTTCTGTCTTTCTTCACTCTCACAACCACCGGCTGCACTCGCTCTCTGTCTCTCTCTTTCATTTACCTCTCTCTCTCTCTCTGGCATACGCACACTTTCGCACAACGCACGCCAAAATTCTGCCGCTGCGCTGCTAATGATGGAGAACAAAAAGAAAACAAAATTTTCCCCCTACTTTTCCAGTTTTTTTCTTCCCCTTCTACGTGCTTAAGTTGTGCTTACAAAAATAACATAAACCGAGGAATTAAATGCAAATAATAGATATACGGAAAAAGTAAACCAAAGTGTAATCAAAGGAATAAGTGAAAAAAAACCAAAAGTCAGCGTTCTGCGTCCTTAGGAACAAAAGGAGAGTGAAAGGAGAAAAGAAATCGCGCTCAACTTTGAAATTTCAAAAAGGCCACAGCAACAACAACACGCTAGCACGCACACACACACACGACAGCCCTTGCTGGAAAGAGACGGAGCGACAGCTCCTTTCGCCTTTTTCCTTTTGTTCTTGTTATTTTTGTTGTCGCTCCGTTTTTGTTGCCGCATTGTTGTTGTTGTTGCTGGCGCTGCTTTGAAATCGACGCAAACTGTTCAACTGTCATGGCCGGTAAGTTTAAATATCTCTCTCCTCTCTTTTGCTCTCCCTTTTTACCTCCTCGTTCGTCGTTGGCTTTAGATGTGTGGGAACTGCCAACTTTGTTTTAATACCCTGTTCAAGGGTATTGTAGTTGCGATAGATCTTTGGAAAGCTGTGAAATTTGATATCTGTGATTGATCATTAAAGAATATATAGGGATTAAAAGCTTTTAGGGGACTGATCAATTTCTATAAATACAAGTTAATAATAATATATTAAAATTATAATTAATTACCAAAGAAACTTTTGAAAAGAGTACATATTCTTCGTCTAGATTCCTTGTTTCATTTTCGATTATTTGTTCACTTTTGATTTTGGCATTTAATTCGCTAAAAACAGCAGATAAACAAATTCAGTGAAAAGTAAACAAACTAGTCAAAAGTCTCGACTGCGTTGAGCGAAAAACAACTTTTCCCTATCAACTAACATTGATCTTTGCACTTGAACGGAACGCCGTCAGCGACGTGAACGGCATGCAAAAAATAAAAACCTATTAAATTGACAGGCCCCCGCCCCACCTCCGCCCCTTTTTAGCACCGCCCCTTGACATTTTTTTTTTTTTTCAACAAATGCCCGCCCCCGCCCCAAATTGCATTAACTATTTTAAAAGGCCAGAGGGAAGTAAAGCAACTCATAAACCTGGAGCACGATTTTGTTACGATAAACAGGAGTCACACCATATCAGGATCAATGTTAAAAAAAAAAGGAATAGCTTCCTTAATTTAAAGGATAATATAGATATCAGATGAAATGGGTACCAATCTTCACAATACCCTTTAATACCTTTTAAATGACCCACAAAGAATATAATAAAAAACAGTTTCTATAGCCGAACCTGGGAATGCTCTGACAAACATCCTTGTGACATTTATAAACGTTTGAACCAATTGGAAAAAACTATATAAAAATTATACAAAAGTCATACAATATTATAAAAACAGATTACAAACATAATTATAGAGCTTAGGAAGTTTCTAGGTAGAAAATACTACCCCCTACTAAAAGAGTATCAAATTGATTTTGTCCGCATACTCAATATAGAGGTACAATTGCCATAATTAAATAATAAACAATTGCACAAGTGCTGAGAATGCGGCGTATACATTGGTTCGGTCAATAGATGTACAGCTCTCAGTGTCGAAACTGGATCGTGTGCCTCGCCTTGTGCAAATTGAGTTAAAGTCGCAATGGACCAAAGGCAACCGACCCACCACCACCCCCTTCCAAACCCCCATTATTTTATGAGATTCCCCCCGTTTGCTCCCAGACAACGTGACGTCGTCGCAAAGGCTTCGAGATTCTTCAGTATGCAAAATTATTTGGCCGTTTTATATGCAGCCGTGTTGTCTTGTCTTGTCTGTCTGCCCGATTTCCTGGAGTAGTTTCACTGCAAGATACGCACAAGTGGGCATGGACGTTCCCTAATGGGATGCGCATGTAAGGACCCAACACAAAACATGGTCTCCAAACAGACATTACATAAGTTTTTAGACCTTATTGCCTGCCTGCCGCTCTGCTGCTGCTGCACACTACTCGCCTGTCATAAGGCAAAATGGAGATTGTAAAGGGGTGACAGATTGATGTGTGCCTTAGATTAGATTGGATATGGTAATTGACAAGGGGGGGAGGAGTGGAGGAGACTGAACGTTAAGCCTTTCTGTTCTCAATTTGTAGTGCAAATTTACATGGGCAAAGAAGCCGGACAAGCTGAGATCATAACTAAAGCAACAAACCAACCAATCAATTATCAAATAGGTCAGTTCTGTATTGAGTTTTCTCATTGTTTGCTAAATGTAGTTAAAAAATACAGGTATTTATAAGAAAAATGTGTATTTTTAGAGCCTTAAACTTGGACTTCCACATAAAGACGATTTTATGAAGGAAAAAGGGGTAGTTTACCTAGGTTTTTCCCCCATTTGGTTTCTCTTAGTATTTGGTTTCCTTTTTCCCAAAATATTTCGTTTCATTAATAATTTCTAGCCAATATTCCTAATTGCTCAGTGGGTTCAGTCATGCATATGAATTATTTCTCTAAAGCTTTTCTTTGACGAAACTTATTCAGCTGGCTGCCAAACAAAAGGATTTCCCTAACATTTCTTCTCCCCTAACGCTTACCTATTTTCACCTTGCCTTTTGTATCGCCAGTCAGCCAGTCAGTCATTCAATCAGTCCATTCCGCCATTCTCTAGGTCGTCCATTTGTCTATCTCTATAGCGTATATAGACTGAAAAAGTAGTATAGCGCAGGCAGGAATGGCGGGATAGAGTGAGGAGAGCTTTGGCTTTAGCGGCGACATCGCGTGGTTGTGTTAAATAATTGTGTCAATATTTGAGTTTCATTATTTTGTTCCATTTTGCGGGGCGCTCATGAAAATCTACTTATCTCTTTATGTGTACGTTTATATACGATCTGGCGAATAAATACGCTAGCTAGCGAGCAGAGCAACCGAGTGAGAGCAATTTCAGATTAGTCTTATTTTTTGCGTTATTTTTTTGTCTAACGAAAATTCTGCAATTATCTGAGATTTATGTGCAGGGGGGGTCTTTGTTGTCTTTTTGTGCTATGGGAACCAAAATACAAAAATTCGGTCATGAGTGGGCTTTACTTATTTGGAAGTAATTGCTTGAGTATTTTGTTTCAATAAATAGAATCAGTTTATGGCAGAAATTACTTCTAATATATATTTTTTACAATTCTTTTTAGTATCTAAAGATTGAGCTTTGTATTTGCACTAAGGGTGCGGTAAATGTTCTAAATATAACTATTAAAACTAATGCTACAGTAAGGTTACTGCAAGTGTATGATGGTTTTGTGAAGTTCTTTTACACTTTTATTTGTATTATTATAAAAATAGAAATAATAGATATAACATGACCTTCAATATCTTACTCTTTCCGGAACTAAATATTTGATTTGTAATTAAAATGTCATATCCGTAAAATAAAAATAGGGAAATTTACTAACCAATAAAAATATTGATGGCTGTCCTAGCAATGCCATTTCATCTTAGAATTTATTTATATTACTGCACTTTTGCTTTCATTTGTGCATTAACGTCTGTCACGAGTTCAACGACTCTAAAACTGCATATGGCTGTGTGCTGCATTTGAGTGGGCGGGTGCGATTCTCCCCACAAACTTATATTGCAAATCTAAAAATAGTGCCGGGATATATAGCGAAAACGACTGAATTATGATGACTGACTAATTGGGCGACTGCCTTTGATCCTATTATGGGAGCAGCAGCACCAACACCACTATTACAGCGGCAGAGGCTGAAAGTAGGAATAAACACAATCACATCATGACGTCGTCGTCAATGGCAGCCATCAGGCAACATCGCGGGCAGAAAAAAGCCAACCGACTGCCAACAGTAAGCGGATAATGAGGTCACAGCACATGGGACTGGGCTGGGCAAGGGCTGTGCCAAAAAAAAAAAAATCAAACAAACAAACAAAACCAAATGAATATTTAGGAACGATGAAAAAATTGGCAAAATTCGCACACAAACACATACTCTACTCAGACATGGGTCCCGAAACAAAAAGACCAGTGGTAGATACGAAATGAAGCTACTGTGGGCATGACAAGCATTTCCAATATTTCTTCAAATAATTTGTCAAACATTGGAAAAGTGATAAGTAATTGAAATTCTTGAAGACTGCGGAGCAAGATCAAGCTAGAGGTTTCTTTATGTAATTAATAAATTGACAGCAGCAAGGCTTAGCAATTAAAGCAATAAAAGGAAAGCTTATAAAAATCAGTAAATTGAATTATATTGATATTCTGCAGATTTTCTTAAATAAATTATTAAACAATTTCGAAAGCATATTGAGAAATACTTATTTTTTATTGAAGGATTGCATGTCTTAAGTCTTATTTTACAACAAAATATTTAAAGAATCAATACTCCTTAGATTGAAGTCCTTCCAAAACAGTTCAGTCTGAGGGTCAAAATCCACTGTAAATAAATACTATATTCAATACACTTTCAAAATGAAATGCTCCCATGTGTGTGGGTGGTCTTAGAAATGTAGAAAGGCCTCCCCAGCACAACGTCATCGTTTACACAACATACCGCAATCGCGCTAAAAGTGGCAGAGAGAATTGGCCAACAGGAAAGTGGGAAATGTGGGTGGACTGGGGTTGGGTCTAAGAGCTACGAGACAAGGAAACGGAAAGAAAGAATATTTGGCCAAGAGCTTAAAGGGCTTTAAAGTGTGTGTCGCGTCCCAACATCATGGAAGGCCAGGCATGGCGTCATTAGCAAATATTTGGGCAGGCTCAGGACATGGTCGCGGTCGTTGCCGTCGTCACCGTTGTCCTTTCTAGCAGTGTGTGTGTGTGTGCGAGAAAAATCAAATGTTACACTTACTTCCTGGGCTTTCTTTTAAGTTGTCCAAACCAATTCGACATTCGACAAATCGAACTCGAGCTGTCCAAAGGTGTTGTCACCTCGCATACTCATCATTTGGTCGTGCTCTGTCTTTTCAGGTAATGGAGAGGCGTCCTGGTGCTTCTCACAGATTAAAGGCGCCTTAGACGATGATGTCACGGATGCGGACATCATATCCTGCGTGGAATTCAATCACGATGGCGAGTTGCTGGCCACCGGCGACAAGGGCGGTCGCGTCGTCATCTTTCAAGTAAGTAAACCTACCTTAATATTATGTTTTTGTAGCTTTTAGTTATTTCAAATATTATTTCCTTCCAGCGAGATCCTGCCTCGAAAGCCGCCAATCCGCGACGCGGCGAATACAATGTCTATTCGACATTCCAATCGCACGAGCCCGAATTCGATTACCTCAAGTCGCTGGAGATCGAGGAGAAGATCAACAAGATTCGGTGGCTGCAACAGAAGAATCCCGTACACTTTCTGCTCTCGACCAACGACAAGACGGTCAAGTTGTGGAAGGTCAGTGAGCGGGACAAGTCGTTCGAGGGCTACAACACGAAGGAGGAGAACGGCCTGATCCGGGATCCACAGAATGTGACGGCTCTGCGTGTGCCTTCCGTGAAGCAGATACCGCTGCTTGTGGAGGCATCGCCGCGCCGCACCTTCGCCAATGCACACACCTATCACATCAATTCAATTAGCGTTAACTCCGACCAGGAGACCTTCCTCTCGGCCGACGATCTGCGCATCAACCTCTGGCACCTAGAGGTGGTTAATCAGAGCTACAACATCGTCGACATCAAGCCAACTAACATGGAGGAGCTGACGGAGGTGATCACCGCGGCCGAATTCCATCCGACCGAGTGCAATGTGTTCGTCTATTCGAGCTCCAAGGGCACAATACGATTATGTGATATGCGTTCGGCGGCGCTATGCGACCGGCACAGCAAACAGTTCGAGGAGCCCGAGAATCCAACGAATCGCAGCTTCTTCAGCGAGATAATTAGCTCCATCAGCGATGTCAAACTAAGTAACTCCGGTCGCTACATGATCTCCAGGGATTACCTGAGCATCAAGGTGTGGGATCTGCACATGGAAACGAAACCCATTGAGACCTATCCGGTAAGTCTGTCCCTGAATTTAATGTTGTGTATCGTAGTACTAATTGCTGTCTTTGCAACATATGCAGGTCCACGAATACCTGCGCGCCAAGCTGTGCTCGCTGTATGAGAACGACTGCATCTTTGACAAATTCGAGTGCTGTTGGAATGGCAAGGATAGTTCGATAATGACCGGAAGCTACAATAACTTCTTCCGCGTGTTCGATCGCAACTCGAAAAAGGATGTGACGCTAGAGGCGTCCAGGGACATCATCAAGCCGAAGACGGTGCTGAAGCCACGAAAAGTTTGCACTGGCGGCAAACGGAAGAAGGACGAGATCAGCGTGGACTGTCTCGACTTTAACAAGAAGATTCTGCACACCGCCTGGCATCCCGAAGAAAATATCATTGCTGTGGCTGCGACCAATAATCTATTCATATTTCAGGATAAATTTTAGCCAACACTCTACTACGCAGCAGCAACAACAACACCATACGCCACAATCACACCAACAACTACAACTACAGAAACAACAACTACGAAAGCAAACACTCCTCATTCTAATGTTAATTCAATCGGTTTGTTTCAGCCGCCTTTTCAAATTTCCCTCGGAATTCAACTGTTTGCCTAACATCATTACCTCAGTCCATCACACTCCCCCTCTTCTCCCCAAAAAACACACACACATAATGCCATAGCAAAAGCTTTGTAATGTATATCTTTGAATCGAGAAATAAGAAACAAGAAACGAGAAAGTTTAAAGCAAATAAGAGAAGGAAAAAAATTTTTATACATAACATTTCTATGCGTAAAGTTGATTTCTTGTAGCTCAATTCGAGGAGTAGCCCCGTAACAAGGGTAGCATATTTAATAATGATGATAACGATTGATTTGCCCCGAAAGTTCTTTGTAATAATTAGCGCCAGCGCCGAAGTATTTGTAATAAATGATAATAATTATAATATATCTAAAAGAGAAAAAACATACAAAACTAAAATCGTAAAAATTGTGCATATTGTAATATTTTTTCTGTTCGCTTGTTGTTAAGTTTACACACACACACACCCCTGTTTGCTCTTCTTTATAAACACAGATTATATTCCGAAGTAAATTCGTTTTGCGACAGCGTTCATTCCAAGCAAATGAGCCTTCATCCATCGATTATGTCTCATTTTAAAATCTCATCATTAGCAATTCGAACAGCAACCGAGGAAGTGTTGTGTGTCCTCTCTCAGTCAAGAAACCAATTCAAAATGCTCATTTTAACAAATCTAATTCACTAAGAAGTCAAGCAGAGAGAAGTCAAAGCAGAGGCAGAAGCGCAGAAGGAGTATAAGAAAAATGAATGCATTGATATCGTGTGTATTTGCAGTTAATACGATATACATATACATCTATACAGCCTAAGTTAAAAATACAATTTAGTGTTCTCAATTTGTTTAATTTAATAATTATCGTATCTGAAATGAGAAGCAAATGCAAACAAACAAAAAAAAAAAAAATGATATAAAAGCAAACAAGAAGAAAAATAAGAAACAACACTATTTTTATACGCTACATTTTAAGCTATAGTATTGCTACTTTTAGTTCAACTATGCGTGCGTGCGTCCAAGACCAATTCTCACATATAGTCTGTCCGAACCGAAAACCCCGCCCCCGAACCCTCGCCCCCCTCATTTACCATCGGTCAACGACTTTTCCAGCCTGTTTATTGTTTTTTTTTGTAAAGTTTCCTTTAATCATCATTGTCATGTTTTCCACAAAAAAAGAACTATAAACAAAAAGGAACCATTTTTGATAGGTTATCTAGTGTCTAGTGTTAACAACAACAAAATTAAATATATATATATATAAACAAACAATAAATAAAAGTAATGAGAAAGTTAATAAATAAACGATGCGCTGAAAAATGTTAAATGAGGAACTACAAAATGTACGGCAGCAGCAGCAGCAAGTTCAAAATATTGAAATGTAAACGCATAAAATGATGAAATAAAAACTAAAACAACATAAACTGTGCTTCTTATGAGAATAATGATAAATATACATAATAGTAATATTGTATTTTCTATAAACTAGAGGGACAGCCGGCCTAGGCGAGAGCATAAAAAATTGATAACAAAAAATAAGAATGCAGTGAAAATTGGCTAAAAACCTTGAGTGAAAATCGTCTAAAAAATTTTCCAGTCTCTAAATGCAATTATTTGGTTGCCATTTACCCCATTATTGTTTTCTTTATTTCCGTTTGCAACGCACATTTTATAATCATAAATCTTTGACATGCCTTTTTGTAAATAAAATCGCAACAAAAACAAAAGAGAAGTGAACTTAAAACGTAAAAACACATTATTCATAAAATGAAATAAAATCCAAAGCAAAGCAGTCGGAGCAGTAGAGAAACTGTTGCAGTTGCAGTGCGAATGAGAACGCAACAAGACAACAAATTGCAATTGATTAGTTTTAAAAAAACATTAATTGAATTGCTATTCATAATAAAGATCAAATAAAAGCAAACTTAAGGATACCATTTAGTTTTGCAAGCAAGAAAATTGATAAAAATAATTCCAAATGTGTGTTTTAGTAGGGTTTAAAGTGGGGAACAAACTCAAACCTCTTGTATTTAAGGAATATTTATTTGTTGATAATCTTATTTATTTATTTAAACAAAGTCTGATTATAAAGGTAAGTTTAACTATCATTTAATACTGTAGTTTCCATATGTATAAAAATGAAGTAAACTGAGACAAGAATTAGCGCCTTTCAAAATGATTATTAACGGTAATCCACGTAGTAACAATGAGCATCGAGAAGAGTGGTGCTCCGGGAAACTACTAATTTAAACTAAAATATTTATATTTTTATATTGAGTTGGTAAAATAAAGCTATTTGAAACTGAATACTTTGGTTTTTCAAATCGAAATTAAAATTAACATTTAAAAATGAGATATTTTAATTTTTTTTTTTACTTTTAAGTTGTTTGGATATATTTTAATATTATTTTATGTTAACTCGTCGAGCACACCTCGGTTATTTTTAAAATGCAGCCAAGTACCTTTACTAGGTAGTACTCTAAGCCATTTCAATGCCAGGCACGCATGCGCACAGCCAAAGAGAGACAGGCTTGTAGAGAGAGCCAAGCTCACTCAAAAGACGACCAAAACGCTCAAGCTGCAAAGAAACCCAACCAAAATAACGGCGGCTTAAAGTCTCAGTTGACTCAGATCGGTTGGACAGTGCGGTTCGTTTTCGACTTCGACTCGAAAGCAAAAGCTAAAGAAAAAGCATAAAAAACGCCGGAACTGCGGCCTAAACCTGTTTTGGCCAAGTGAACGCAACAACAATAGCAGCGAAAACGCATGCAAGTGACGAAACGACCTTAAGCAAAAGCCAGAAAAAGTTTTAAAAATATATTACGCTTGGCTCCCTAATTACAAAAATATTTTTTGTGTCTTTATCCAAGAAATTCGATGACGCAGTGTCTGAGGGAAAACCCCCAAAATGCAAAATAAGCGAAAATAAGCATCGCTTAAAAAGAAAACAACAAAAATTAACGAAACAACACGCGTACGTGGCCAGGCTAAGGAAGTGGTAGTGTCCGCAGCAGCAGGAAAAAATAATAATAAAAATAAACAAAATGACATTGAGCAACAATGTTCTTTGTCTGCAATTGCAACGCCGACTGTTACTAGTCGTTGTAACGTTTTTCCTGCTACTATCCAGTGCTTGTAAGTCCATAAACTAAATAAATTGCAAATCTTAACAACAAGAAAATAAAAACAGCAACAATAACAAGGCAAACTGCAAAAGAAAGAGAAATTTTTATTGGCGTTACGCTCGAGACGGGGCGAAAAACAAATTCACTTTCGTGTAAAACTAGAGAAACTGGTCTAGTCTCTTGGCCTTACGTCTTAACGCTCCCGCCAGGGGGCGCTATCACCTGGCCGGCCGAGTGGCTGCAGTCAATCAGAAGCCGAAAATTGTTGGCTTATTAGTCACATCGAGATATGCGAAAACGAGTTTGTTGTCCCAAGTCTTTCGTTTTACCTACCGGCTTAGCTTAGAGAATTTCCTAAACCAATCTCATCTTATTAGTGGCCCAGGGCGAGGAGGAGGAGGATGGACCGTATCGTGGAAAATATCTGGGGAAACTCAACTCCTACCATCATCAGGTGTCCGGCGATGTGTACGCCGTGAATGAGTTTACCTTTCTGATTGTGGGCTTCAACTACGACGGCAACGGGGCGGATACGTTCTTTTGGTCGGGAGCCAGCAACAGGCCGGGACCGCAGGGCTTTATAGTGCCCGACGAGTATGGGAAGTAAGTGTAACTCAAATAAATTAAATTAAATTAAATTATATAGATAAAGTAACCTAAATTATATCAAGACAAAAAAGGAAGCTTACTTTAGCTAAAATTTGAAATCTATCATAACTAAGCCAAAAATGCAATTATTTCAATTCGGAAAGCTTTTTTTTTAGGAAATCAACAATATATATACTTTATAGGGTCGAAAATGACTCCTTCACTATTATAATACCCTGCAAGTATAAATATTCACATAAATATTCCCCGTAGAACCAATATCTTGGATCGCTACCACAACAAGGACTTTACTCTGACTCTACCCGATCGCAAGAAGATTACAGAAATCAAGTGGCTGGCGGTTTACGATCTGAATAACCAGAACAACTTTGGCGATGTATATATACCGGAAGATTTTGAGCCCCCAATGCCCCAACTGGGCGGCACCTTCTCCAAGCGCAGCCACAATGTGAGCAGCAGCAGCATTCAGATCCTAGACTCGAAAACCATTCGCATCAAGGACTTTACGTACGATGGTCAAGGCAAGAGGACCTTTTTCTGGACCGGCGTCGGAGCGCAGCCATCGAGTCGTGGCAGTAAACTCCCAGATGAGCGAGGATAGTAAGTATATTAGCTTTAATCTATAAATTAAATTATTAATATTATTATTTTCCTTTCAATATTTCAGCCTGGATCCCATAAGAAAATACAACATGGAGACCATTGATTTGCAGTTGCCGGGTGACAAGACCATCTTTGACATTGACTGGATCAGTGTGTACGATGTGGCCGACAACGAGAATTATGGTCATGTGCTGATCAACGATGGTTTGAATGTTCCACCGTCTTTGGTAAAGGTGATACCCTTTGAATTCTCGCTGCCCAACTGCCGGCAGCTGCACAAAGACTTGCAGGTGTCCTGGGAGGTCTTCGGGCCCCAGATCACATTCCAACTGTCCGGTCAGGTGGCGGCCAATGATTACATGTCCTTTGGCATATCGGGATCGGATGTGTCCAGTCAGATGATCGGCTCCGATGTGGTGGTGGCTTATATAGACGAGATCCGTGGGTACTCTGTGGACTATAACATCACCTCGCTGGCACCATGTGTCCAGGTTTTGGGGCAGAACAAGGGCGTTTGTCGGGACGATGTTGTCGGTGGACTGGACAGCTTTCAGCTAAACACTTATGCCCGCAAGGATGGCATCAACACAATCAGTTTCCGTCGCCTCCTGAAATCGTGTAAGTTGAATATTTACGAGTTACTAGTTTGCTTTTACTTGTTACTAGTTAGTTCTAACAAGTTTCCACACACTCGTTACTCTTATGCTTACTTTCCAGCGGACGATGGCGATAAAGAGATCTTCTTGGATCGAAGCAACTACGTGGTCTGGGCCTTTGGCCAGTTGGATTCAAACAACGAGCCTGCTTTTCATACGTATTATCCCAAAAGCGACATTGTGATAGATTTCAACACCACGGAACCGGTGAACGATTGTTTTGCCTTCACTTCACAAAAGGAGACACCACCGCAGCTGTGGGAACGCACCAGGATAACAGATGCGTAAGCATCAAGATCATCTACAAAAGCATATTTAATTCTTTTATATTTCTCACAGCTCCGTGCGTAGCTTCAATGCTTACCTGGGACCCTCCGGAGGACTTCGTGGCTATCAGGGATTAACTGGCCATGTGTCCAGCGGCTTGGCCTGGTACATCAACGGCTATATGATACCCGAGCTGTACCTGAAACGCGGCCTGACCTATACCTTTAAGGTGAGAGGAGGCAATAATCCCCACTCGCCGGAGCACTATCATCCGCTGGTCATCACCGACGATCCCCAGGGCGGCTACGATCGACTCTCGGATGCGAAACAGAGTGAGATCAGGGTTTTGGCTGGAGTGGAGTTCACCAGGAGGGGAAGGCCCAAGCCCACGGCTGCCGGCCCCTTGTGCTTGTCCCGATATCCTCCCAATTATGATCGCCGCCTGGACGACATCTTTCCCACATTCAAGAAGTTCAATCGATCCCTGATCACTGAATGTGTAGATGAGGCACCTGCGCTGTTAGAGATTACCCCGAACATCACCTGGCCGGATACGGTGTACTACAACTCCTTTACTCATGGCAATATGGGTTGGAAGATTCACATTGTGGACAGTTATACAAATCTTAGGAATGGAGCGAGACCCTTGACATGGTCCCTAGCCATTATTCTGCTGCCTTGGATGGTGCTTCAGTACTGATCGTTCTCTTTCTCTTCCTGTTAGTTTGTCCTAATCGAATATTTAGTGTCTTAGTCTTAAATAAGCAGTCACAATTTCATGTATTTGAAGCGCGTTATGTGAAGTTGAGTTTAGATATACAAAGATAGGTTTTATAAAATATGAAAGAATCTGAGATTCTGTTTTGCTTAATACTCACTCGGCTCTTGTTTTACATATTTACAATCTTATTTTTTTATGTCTAGACTCAGTGGAAGTTTATGTGCTCATGTTATATGTATTATTATTTAAATCTTATTTAAATACAGATCTGTGTTGTATTTTGTAATGAGTAGTAAAAGCTAAGAAATAATAAAATATAATAATAATAATAAATTTTGTCTACAAATTTATTGAAATTATCCCCTGCAAACCATTTGGCGATTCTCTAAACGAAAAGAGTCCTCTGGGAGTCGCTTTGGCGATTGCTGGAGTACTTATGTATTTATGAAAATCCCCAAGAAGAGTCTTTTGGGAATCGCGGTGACGATAAGTTGGCAGACGACAATGCTTGGAAAAGCAAAAGCATTTTACAAAACCAAATTGGATAAGCCTGATAAGGAGAAAAGTGAAATTTCTAAAATATAAAATACATAAATGGAGCTATAATTTTTAATGTTATCAAGGTTAAAATACTTTCATACTTGCCTCGTGATCCTGAGGTCTTAAGTACTACCACCAACCCAATAAAACACGAACCCTTATTGACAGTAAACTGTAAACTATTCAATTTATTGATTAGATTTGCGTTTTACTCGAAAGTTCAGTAGATAATTATTCGATTCGACTTATGCAACACGCGTGTGCTAAACGAACTCAATCCATCGGTCTCACAGAAATTGTTATTAAAATACTTGATGTGCGTTTCGGGGTCAAAATAACAATATTTCAGCCCCAGCCAGCACACGTACACTTACATACATGGTCTAAAAGCTTCGGTAATCATAAGAAGTTTAGGGAACAAATGCTGTCGAACCGAATTCCGCTTGAAGAAGGGAATATGGCATCGAGTCACATTTTGGCCCTTTGACATTTTTTGCAAATTGCCATTCGGTTATCGAGTTCGATTTTAGTGGTTCAACAAGTGTGTGTGTGTCAATTAGTTATTCTAGTTTTATGTATATGTATATATATATAGTATATATTTAGTATATTTGTCAGGCGTAATTGTATGCATGTAGATAATGTGTAAACTTTATTGGCGTTACATTGAGTTTGCTCCTCTCGCGTTTCCTAGGCTCTAATAATCATCAAACAGAAGCGGAGAAATGTGTTCTCTGTTAGTTTAAGTACTCAGATCCGCACTTGGCTTGTTGTAAGTTCTCTAAAATATTAAATTTTGGATACTCCACCTCCTTATCCTTTCTCTATATTTAGTTTTTAATATCACGTTCATCGTTTACACTTTTTGCTTGTTCTGTTTTACACTGTTTGTTCTGTTTGTTGATTCTGCTTCTCGAAGGGAGTACGTTTTAAACTACTTTAAGCCAATTTAACAATAGATATAGGATATCTGTATATATATATATATATGTATATGCATTTAATATAGAGTGAGACAAAGCGGACAATCGCCACTGGTGAAATTTTGAAAAGTCCAAAAGAGGGGAGTTACAGACATTGACCTAAGAAACGCCATCAATTTTGACATAAGACATACGACGTTTACCGCTCCCAGTTCCGCTTTTAATACTCTCTTCACGGCTCATGGTTCTTCACAAACTTCTCCAGCTGCCTGTGCAGCTGATTGTGATAGGGTATCCGATGTTTGCTAATCACCGTCGCCGCCAGACACTGCAGCGTCACAAAGTTAAGCAGCGGAATGGTGCTGGTGGGATTGGAGGCTATTAAGTCATAGGGCCGCTTGTCGGCCCTATTCGGCTGATCGATGTCCGCTCCGCACTTGAGCAACAGGTGCACAATCTGTATAAGTCGTTTGTTAGCCTTGTTATTCAGTCTTTTGTGTTGGAATGACTACTCACCTCATTGTCATAGTTGTAGGGCTGGCATGCCACATGCAGGGGCGTGGATTTGGCCTCGTTTTTGATGTTTACATCGACGCCGCACTGGATGAGCAGCTTGATGACATCCGCATTGGGGAACACAGTCTTCTAAAGGGGGTTAAAAAGTGGTTTAGTATTTATACACTGACGGGGCTTAAATACCACGCACATCGGCAAAGTTGTCGTCGGTGATGTAGCCGCTCTTGATGACATTCAGCCGCGAGGCGCAGAGATGGAGCAGGGTATCGGCGGTGCTGGCACTGCGCAGATTTCCCACCACAACCGTCTCGTGGATCGCCTGATAGATGAGCTTATTCTGCTCCTCCGTGTGGACGGTATTGATCAGCAGATAGATGAGATGCGCCAAGCATCGCATTACGCGATCATAGTTCTCCTGCTGCCGCCTAAAAACAGGCCTCAGGAGCAGCAGGTGCTTCACCACAATGGCGCTTTCGGACAACGTTCGAAATACCCCGAGCACATCCTCGAACCGGGGCAGCACGTTGTCCTGGTGAACAAACCTGGCCCTCGCATCGCTCCTTATGTGGCTTGAATTCTGGACATGCAAATCCAGCATCAGACGCACCAGCGCCTGGGCCGCGAAACAGGTCTCAAAGTGCAGGATGGACCAGTTCGACACACGCACCTCGAGCAGGAACCGCCACAGGTCAATGCAACGCTGCAGCTGCAGAGAGTCTGCATAAGAAGCTCCCCTAAAAAAACATAATTAATATATTAATACGACTTTTTGGAGATTATCGCAAAACTCACCTAAAGGTTAGCCGAAAGAGCATGTCCTTATGGGTCAGACCCAATACACGCTCGCAAATAAGCAGGCTCTGCGTCCGCATTGCATCCATATCGGTGGCTATGTTGTCCAGCTCCTCCAGCGTACTAAATTCCACTGCATTCTCGTACGCACTTCGCAGTGGTACCTGCGGCTTCTTCTCTATGTAGGGCGAGTATGCCGCCCGAATGTGATGCGCCATGCGCCAGTGCAGGATGCACACACGCGACTCGTTGTGCTCGTCCAGGAACGTCGATCCCATCAGCTCATGCGCTTCTGCCAGCCTTCCGGCCGTATAGCTCAGCTCCTTTTTCAAAAAATCAAAGATCTGATGGGCTCCCTTCAGGCAGGCAGTGCGCAGGGCATCGTCGCCATAGCGACTTTTGGCATACGGATCGGCTCCCTGTTCGATTAACATCCGGGTGGTGTCCAGCCGGTGCTCCTGGATCGCATAGTGGAGAGCCGTCTTATCCTGGATGTCCCGGGCATTAATGTCCGCTCCCTTGCGCACCAAATACAAACACAGCTGAACGGACTGCACCGAGTTGATGAGACAGGTGCCGCCATTGATGTTCGGCCGCTTGATGTCTGCTCCATTTTCTACTAGAAACTTGACTGTGGAGGGCCAAAGAAGTAAAAAAACTAGGTTAATTTTGGGCCATCTATGAGGGTATTTTGATTTCTTGAGGGAATTTTTAAAGATTTTATATTATATTTTCCCAATATAAGATTTTATTATTATTATTTTATCAAATATCAATGAGAACTTGAACTTCATTTTTGGTATTGTTAAAAGTAATCAGACTGCGAGACAAAAAAAGGGCTTTCTCTACAATTGTGCAAGCTAAGATTTGGCAAAAATAAAAGCAGATAAAACAAGATACTCCGTTAATCTAAATAAACATTTAACTCATTAGAATGTCTAATTTAGTAATATTCAAGTCGTATAGTTTGGAAAGTTTTCTACTTCTTCTGTTTAATGATATTAAATTATTCCGCAAGATAACATAAATTTGTATTTAACGATGGGATCTGACCATCTGCCCCATATGGCGGTGGATGGGATTAATTGAAGGTGGTGCTTGAACACTTTAAAGTGGAGTAAAGTGTGGTGTGCGGTCAGTCGTACAATAAACGAATGGATTGCGTGCGGAACAACTCAAATTACAGGGAATGAGAGTCTAAATCAAACACCCCACTAACTGGTTTCATACACAAATTGCATAGACTATAATTCAAGGAAAGAGAAAACGAAACTTTACTGACAATCGATATTGAATACATGAGCTATAATGGTGTAACCTTAACCCTCTAGAACCCTAGATGAGTTTGCGATAAGAATTTCAAAGAATTAAAAATTAATCAAGTTAAGAAAGTTCTAAAATAATTAAAAGTTTGTCTAGATTCAAGCTAAAAGATTATATTTTAATTCCTTAACCGAAACTCGTTTAGTTTGGCCAACACTTCCGCCAGTTTTAGCTCTAATTTGGTAGTAGAAAATGAAATATAAAATTCAATCAATTAACATCTCACCGATATCGACGTGGGTCATGTAGCAGGCACTCCTCACAGGCGTCGATCCCGAATCCGAGGTGGCATTGATATCGCAACCGATCCGCACCAGATATTTGACCATGGACAACTTTCCGGAGACAACGGCCGCCCATAGCGGCGAGACGTAATGAAAACTATTGTCCTCCGGTACCTCAAAGTGTCCCCTTTGCTCGATGTCCGCCTCGCAGATGGTAATTAGATATTCGGCAATTACAACGGCGCCACGTTTGCAGGCGATGAACAGAGGAGCGCAGCCATTCCGCTGCTTTCGTACCAACTCGCGACGGGAATCGCGGGGAAGCCTGTATCAAAAGACATAATTCAAGTTTTAAAGGATAATAGGGAATAAGTTCTAAGGTCAAATGTAATACTTCTCCTAATACTTTCTTCTAATTCCTAATATTAATACCTTAAATTTACACATTTTTATTTTCTGTACACAAGTTAAGGTCAGCGAAGCGGAAATAACTCTTGATCAGCACGTGCAGGGGCAATGATTTGGTGGGGACTCGATTGATAAGATGAAGCGTTCAACGACGTCGAACCATTTGGCACTTTAAGTATAATATTTCGACTTGTGATTAGGGATTTATGATTGCTAATACGTCACTTGAAATGGCTCCAATGGGGCCAATTAAGCAATTTTAAATATTCTTTTATCTAGACTAAGAACTAATAGGCTTTCAGAAATAAAATAACAAAAGAAAGGAACATTTTGTCATAGGAAATCATACAAAATAAATAGATTAAATACTTTTCCAAATGGCTGAACATTAAATCTACTAATCTTTCAAGTGTCTGGCAAATTCTTTCGAAAATCAGCGGTTTTTTGGTGCCGAAGACCTGCCTTAAATCAAAACAAATAAACTATCCCGACTTAATACACTGCAAGTTATTTCGGTTTCACGACAGTTCTGGTGATGACATACTTTTCCAGCTCGTGGCGCAGATGGCGCGACAGCAGCGAGTCCTCCTGGCTGCGTTTGCACTCCTCGATCAGTTCGTGACTTAGCTTGGTCAGCTCCACCTTGGGACTGCTCTGCTTTCGTTCGTTTGCCATCGGTGGCAGTTGGCCCGCCTGCGACTCCTGGAGTTCCTGCTCCTGGCACTGGTGCTGGTGCTGATACTGCTCCTGCTCCGATACCCGCTCCGGATGCTCGACCCGACGACGGCTGCCTTCAAGTGAGCGCATTGCCAGCGCACCGTCTCATTGCCGATGGGATATGCTTGACCGTGCTCGTGTGTGTGTGTGTGTGTGTGTGCGTGTGTCTATGCGCTGCAGTGACTTTGGCTGTGGGGGTGAGTTTCCTGGATGTCCTTGGGCCACTGCCCCTTGCAAAAACGGTGCGGCAGTGACCTACTGAACCAGGCAAACCTACTTGGACACTCCAGCTAATTGGGTTGCCCTCGCTGCCGTTCTGCTCCCGTTTTTCGCCCAAGGCCGTTCCGAGTACTTTCTTTTTTTCTCTCTGTATCCGTAGCTTTCTGTTGCTCGTTTCTTTCTCTCTAAATCAATTTCTTGTGCAGCGTGCAAATGGGCTGCATGTAACCGCTACTCCCACGGGATCTTCGCAGCACGGCGTGTGTGTGTTTGTGTGTTTTGTCGGGTGTTAGTGTTTGGTTGCGCCTTGCGGCTTAACCATGTCTTTCCGTGTTTTCTGTTTATAAATAAAAAGTCAGCAAAAAATCTTAACGTCAAAACAGTGTGTACACAACTTGGAGGGTGACAATAATTGAAACAGCTGCTCTAACAGACATCTGCTTGGCGCTGTAGTGCTGCCATATCGCGGGACCATTAGGACTGTCACGCTTTCGAGTGAAGTTTTGCACTGTTTATATTTATTTATCCCAATGCCAAAGGCCTTAACCAGTCTTGGCGATTTTACGGAGTTTTTCCGTAGAAAATCGCATTTTTCCGAATGCCTTTTTACTTGAGGAAGCTAAAATTAAAACATTTATTTGGACAGTCTGGCAACGCCAAAACCATCAGTCATTGGTGATCGGTGTATCGATATATAATATCGATAACAGTTCTAAGCGACGCGCTGCTTCCGAAACGGTGCTGAAATTTTTGTTTGTAGACGGAATTTGTGTAATAAGAGGCAATGGAATCTCCGGCGGTAATCGAAATCAGTCCCGAAAAGTTGGAGGTGTTCCGGGAGCTAAATATCCTGGAGAAGCATCGCGTGGAGAGCTTCAAAGACTGGCCCTTTCCCGAGACATCGACCTGCAGCATTTCCAAGGTAAGATCGCTATAAATGCTGGTTTTGCAACTGTTTACAGTAACTCCAACCTTATAGATGGCCGAGGCGGGATTTTATTGGACGGGCACCAAGCGGGAAAACGACACCGCCACTTGCTTTGTGTGCGGAAAGACCCTCGATGGCTGGGAATCCGAAGATGAACCCTGGAAGGAGCACCTCAAGCACGCTCCTCAATGCGAGTTCGTCAAGGTGGGATGCGCCGAAAAGGAGCTAACTGTGAGCTAGACGAATGTATAACCCTTTGTGTCCGTATATTAAACAAAGATATCCCCTCATTTAGGTAACTCAATTCCTTGAAATCCTTGGAACTGTGGTCAAGGGACGCATAACAAAGACCCTAAAGACCTTTAAAGTGAAATTCACCCAGGAAAACGAAACACGACTTGAAGATTTTATGCAACAATCAAAATAGTGCGCTTTTATAAATTTTTAACATTTTTATTTAGTTAACATTATGTGTACAGAGATTTGATAATAAAACAAGGTGGCAACGCCGAGAAAAAAAAACAAACAAATCTTAAGTCTGCCCTGGTAAACTCGCAATTGTTGCTAATTTAAGTGCGCGGATCCCGCAAAATCAAATGTTATGTTGAAAAGGAAATTGGAACAACAAAGGGAACATCTGGACGATAAGAAGGAGACCAAGAAGCCGGTTTCAATATCCGATTTCTTTGCCCCGCCGCTGTGGTTAAAGTTCTATAACACGGAAAGCAAGTTAAACGAGACGTTGGATCAACTAGCCACACCTCCAGGCATCAAGTGCATCTACAATCCCATAGTGTATGCCTCACAATTGCATTGTGACTATTTGCGTCGTTATTTAAGTGGTGCAAAGAAACTGGTATTCATAGGCATGAATCCGGGTCCCAATGGAATGGCTCAGACGGGCGTAAGTTGGGGATTAATATTTAACAATTTCAACATATGTATAATTGTTTCTAAATGTTTTTTAGATACCCTTTGGCAATGTGCGAACTGTAAAGGTGCTAATGCAGCTCGCAGGATCGGTGGAGAGACCTCCCAATGAACATCCCAAACGCCTTGTCGTGGGTCTGGACTGCAGGATAGAGGAGCCCAGCGGTGTTCGACTGTGGGAACTGTTTTTAAGGATAGCTGGCAGCATGGTTACCTTTGCCCAACAATGTTTTGTCCACAATTTTTGCCCTTTGGCATTTTTCGATGAAGCCGGAAAGAACTTGACACCCAGTGAGCTGAAAGGACCATATAAACAGCAGTTGCGGGATCATTGCTTGGACACGTTCGAGGAGCAGTTGCATCTTCTTCAACCCCAAGTGGTTGTGGCAGTAGGGGAATATGTTCACACCGCCTTGAAGCGTTCAAAGTATTGCAAATCGGATTCTGTAACTGTGCTCCGGTTGCCACATCCCAGTCCTCGGTCAGTGAATAATAACAATTGGCCAGAGAAGGCGCAGGCATTTCTGGAGGATAACAATCTCATACGATATATGCGGAATGAGGCTTAGAGCGCTCAAACCCAAATAATTCTTTATAGTTTCATTAACTTCAGTCATATAAAAGTAAACTTGGGTTAGGAAGTGTAAAAATATTGTAATTTTATAATTAGAAATATGTGAAAAAGACAATTCAACGAGAAGTATTTTAAGTTATATGTTTATATATTAATGTATAAGCTTGTATATACAAACAAAAAAATAAATAATTCCAAAAATTATATAAATATATATATAAATTTAAATGTCGTAAAAAGTACTCATTCTATAGGCTCTTTAGTGTATTAAAGTATTATGCATAATTTTCGTAAATTTTAAAATACAAACAAAATAAACGGTTAAATCAGTGCTGTAAAGTGTTCCGGACTAATCGATGTCGAATAATTTGCTGCGTAATGGAAACTATCGACTGGCTGGGCCATCACTATATGATATAAATATTTTCCACACTACACAGCTGTTCCTCACCATTTAGTGTTGCAAAACGCTCGCCGAGTGAGAGCTATACCGTCGCCTTTTGTTTTTGTTTGACCTGGTCGCCTCCGGTTTTTTCACCCAGTTGTCCAAGTTCCTTTCCATGCCAAATGGCCGACTTTATGGAGGAAGCGTTTGTAGAGGCGCGGCGGGCACGTGACGCCGGCGAGGTGCCAGTGGGCTGTGTGTTTGTGCATGGGGACAAGGTCATCGCACGTGGCGGAAACGAGGTGAATGTTTACCGGAACGCCACCCGCCACGCCGAGTTCATATGCATCGACGCCACCCTGGCCTATTGTCGCGAGAAGCGTCTGCCGGCCCGCCAGATGTTCAGCGAGATCACCGTGGTGGTCACCGTCGAGCCCTGCATCATGTGCTCCGCTGCCCTGCACACACTCGGCGTTAAGGAGATCATCTTTGGTTGTGAGAACGACCGGTTTGGCGGCAAGACGGTTGTGGACGTGGCCGAAGTGGTGGGCCAGAGGATTGACATAACCGGCGGCGTGAGAGCGGAGGAGGCGATGGCCTTGCTAAAGGAGTTCTACAAGGGCGACAATCCGGCGGCGCCTCCTCAGGCCAAGAAGAAGAAGTAGGCCAGCAGTCAGTGGAACTTAGATCTTGCTCTCCGGATTGTGAACCAACTCTATTCCTGGCAAGAATGGGAACTTCATAAAAACTACTCGCTACTATAAGTACCGATTTTTGGGCGTAATTTTTTTTAGACAAAAATATGTATTCCGCCGATTACTTTACGATCGAACAACTCCCCTCAAAAAGCATGTAAAAGTATTCTTACAATAACTTTCTGAAATTTAGAAAACAATCACAAACTCGAACAAGTACTCCCCGAAAAATAGGAGTTATCAGGAAAACTACTTTCCGGAAGTAGAAAAAGTTTCGCCGTCTATTTCTGTATATGTTTCAATTTATTATTATAAAATTTAAGCATAGTCTAAGATATATATTATGTATATGGCGTTCAGAACGTATGTTTAAACTCTAAACATAAATACAATTACTGCATAAAAAAGCTACAACATTTACGTGTGTGTAGTGAAGGCTGTGCCTGTTTCCACAATAGGAAGACTACTCAAAAAACCATATTGTTTCCTTTTTTCAAACCGTAAATTGCAGCTGTCTTGCAGTCCGACACCAAAAAGCTATTTAACCCTCCAAGACTTTTTTAATGTAGCAAAACTTTTAGGAAAACTTGTAATTCCAAAATTAGTTAGACAAGAAATCTATCAATATTGATTTTTGTCTTTCAAAATGGTAATATATTGTTAAGAAATTTATTATGAATTATTCTTCTTCTGAATCTTCTGAAGATTAAAGTTTTCATCGTATTTATGTTAATTTCCAGGAACTTTTCAATTCCATAAAGAAACTTTCACGTCCTTATTACGTTTCTCTCTTTTTTAAGTTTTCTTATTTTAAACTAAAAGTTTTGGAGGGTTAAAATGGGGCCCTAAACTACAATAATTTCCCTACATCCTAACCTAATTTTTCTTTTCGATCGTTTGCTGCGCCAGCTGAAAACTTTGATCAATGTCAACTAATTAAGCTGACCCCATCAAGTGCCGTCTGGCGGAGCAAACAAACAATGGCGTGCGATTAAGCATATCTAAACTAATTCTAATTAAATGCGTTGGTTACGGCGGCGTCTGTGATCAATGTTGATCCACTCCAAGGGCACATTACCGCCCACATTGTAGGTGGCGGTGCTCTTGCAGTTCAGTTTCCTGGCGGGTTGACAGCCCCGGCTCACGTTCCAGTAGGCGAATCCCTGAGGACAGCGATGGATCTGGCCCTCAATGCGTCCCGTCTGCTCCGAGTATCCACACTTGACAAATAGCTGGCCGCATTCGTCGTCATTCAGGGCGAAGTGACCCTCATCCGGACAGAGCGGAGCCGTCGATGTGATTTGTACCTTTCAAGAGAAATTTATGTAATTGTAGGTAACATTTTTTATTTCCTAATTTTGTTCATTGTTTGATCTTACCACATTTTGAAGTTTCGTTTCCGGCTGGAAAAAGTCACTGGTTCTCTTCATGTCCTTGCTGCATTTGTCCCCGTCCTGGGGCTTGCCACAGCTGCAGCTTCTGTCCTGGAAAACGGTTCCATTGGGACACTGGAACACCACGATGTTCAGATCGTTGCTATCCACACTCTCACTGCACTGGTAGAACATGCCGCACTTTTCTGGATGCTGGCGGAAACCGGTTGGGCAGACATATAGATTCTGTCCAGGATTGGTTGTTGGGCAAGGAGCAGAGGTATTGGTTCCGGGAGCGGGGCTCTCTGTTGACGTTGGTGTCTCAGTCGTTGGTTGGTTTGTGGTGGTTTCGCCGCCACTAGAGATTGTAGTCTCTGGTTGAGGAATTTTGGTAGTGGTTTCCGGCTTTTCAGATGTCGTGGTTTCAGGTGAACCTGTTGTAGTTGTTTCCGGTGCTCCAGTTGTAGTTGTTTCCGGTGATCCTGTGGTTACTGCTGCTCCTGTCGTAGTAGTGGCGGGAGCTGGCGTAGAAGTTGTCACAGAGGTTCCAGAGCTGGTTGTCGTTTCAGGTTCCATGGTGGTTCCCGGAGAAGTTGTTTGTCCCGAGGAGCAGTTGCCAGATACCTGATCAGCGTGGTTGCAGGTTTCGGTGGACGTGTCCCAAACTGTTCCCTTTCCGCATTTGAATGCATATACCTGGTACTTTCCATTCTTAGCAGCATCCACGCAACGGTAGTAGCGCATGCAATCCTCGGGATCGGGGAAAAAGCCCTCGGCGGTGCAGTTATAATTGGGATGAGGTTCAGGCGAGGCGGTTGTTGGGGTTTCGAGTGTCGTAGTCTCACTGGAAGTTGATGTTGTAGGTTGAACGGTTGTCGTTATGGGTTCAGTGATGGGCTGATCGGTCGTCGTTGGATTATAGCCTGGGATATTTGTTGTAGTTTCGACGGGCTTGGATGTCGTTGTTGGACTATAACCGGGAATATTCGTCGTAGAGGGTTCTTTTGTAGTTGTTGGTTTCGTGTTGGGCTTTGTTACTGTAGTGGGTTCTTCTGTAGTAGTTGGTTTAGTGACGGGTTCTTCCGTAGTTGGTTTAGTGACGGGTTCTTCAGTGGTTGGTTTCGTATTGGGCTTTGTTACTGTAGTGGGTTCTTCTGTAGTAGTTGGTTTTGTATTGGGTTCTTCCGTGGTTGGTTTAGTGTTTGGCTTTGTAACTGTTGTGGGTTCTTCCGTAGTTGTTGGCCGGGGGGTTGTGCTTCCTGGATCCTTGGAGTCCTCACTAGGTGTGGTCGTCATTGGCTCGTTTGTGGTGGTCTGAGGTAACTTTGAACACCGCGGGATATTCTCCATGTAGTCACAAGTCTGGACATCTTCATTCCATCCTGTACCCTTCGGACATGTAAAGTTATATTTTCTGTATGAGGATCCGGCATTAATGCATCGGTAGTATTTCCTACAATCCTCGGGATCGGCCATATAACCCTCTCCCGTGCATTCTGTGCCCGCTGGCAGGGGTTTCATTGTGGAAGTAGTTTGTGGTTGGGTCGTGGTATCTGGATTGGTAGTCATTGTTGTCGTTTCTCCTTCTGAACTTGTCGTTGTTGTACTTGGTGGAACAGAGATTGTGGTACTAGGGGGTACCTCTGTGGACGTCGTCGGAGGTAATCCAGTGGTTGTTGTGGGCTGCTGCGTTGTTGTTGTGGGCTGCTGCGTTGTTGTAATGGGCTGCTGCGTTGTTGTAATGGGCTGCTGCGTTGTTGTTGTGGGCTGCTGCGTTGTTGTTGTTGGTGATTGTGGTTTTTCAGTAGTGGGTGTTCCATTGTTTTGGTTTGGCTCACAAGGCGGTTTTTGAGTGGTTGGGCCGGTGTTGCAGTTGTTGAAATTGTGATTACAGGTCTGCAAATCCTGATCCCAAACGGTTCCGTCGCCACATTGGAAGGGTATGGCGTTGAAGCCACCATTTGCAGTTCTAACGCAACGATAGAACTTTGAACAATTGCTGGGATCGGCCATGAATCCCTCGGAGCTACACTGGCCATTAGTGTTGGGTGATTGGGTTACTGGGGTAGTCGGTCTTTGGGTAGTTGACGATGGACGGGAAGTGGGAGTTGGGGATGACGAGGGACGAGAGGTAGAAGATGGACCCGATGGCCTCGATGTGGAAGATGGGCCGGACGGCCTCGATGTGGAAGATGGGCCGGACGGCCTGGATGTGGATGAAGGTCCCGAGGGCCTTCCGGTAGTGCTTGAAGTCGTGGGTGGAGAAGGAGTTGTAGGTGGGGCCTTTCCGCCGCATTCCTTCACAGCCCATGCGTGGTTACAAGCCTGAGTTTGAGCATCCCAAACTGTGCCGGGTCCGCAAGTGAAGGGCACCATACTGAAGCCACCTCTGTCATTATCCACACAGCGGTAAAACTTTGCACATTCCGTTCGATCTCCAATAAATTGTCCGTTATAAGTGCAGCTCTCTGATGGATTGGGTTTCGATGCTCCCTGGTTTGAGCTGCTGCTGGAGGAAGATGAACTTGATGACGATGAGGACGAGCCCTGATTGTTGTTGCTGCTGGACGAGGATGAAGAAGATGATGAAGAAGACGATCCACTTCCGGAAGAATTACCGCTGGAAGAGGAACCACTGTTTGAGGAGGAGCCTTGATTAGACGAGCCACTATTTGAGGAGGCTCCACTGTTCGAAGAGGATGAACCATTATTGGACGATGAGCCACTGTTAGATGAGGATCCGCTGCTAGAGGAGGAGCCTTGGTTAGACGAGCCACTGTTAGAGGCGGAACCACTGATCGAAGAGGATGAACCATTATTGGAAGATGAGCCACTATTAGATGAGGATCCGCTGTTAGAGGAGGAGCCTTGGGTGGAGGAAGAACTACTCGATGAAGAGTTGCTGCTACTCGATGAAGATCCTCCCTGATTGATCACTTTCTTGCACTTAAGCGGTTTGGTCTGAATCTGATCAGGGTGGTTGCAGCTGTTAGCCTCGGGATCCCAAATAGTGTTTGGAGGGCAGGTAAACGAGACCTTTGTGAATCCGCCCTTGCCGTTGTCAACGCAGCGATAGAACTTGGAACAGTTTTCGTTGTCAGCCAGGAATGTTTCTTCACTCTCGCATTTCTCAGCGGGTCTAAAAGGTTTCTGTGTGGTGGTCGATGAAGATCCTTCGGTGGTTGAGGAAGAAGTCTGGCTCGAAGAAGACGATTGCTGGGAAGACGAGCTTTGATTAGAGGATGATCCTTGGTTTGACGAAGATCCTTGGTTAGAAGATGATCCTTGATTTGACGAAGAGCCTTGGTTGGAGGAAGATCCTTGATTCGATGAAGATCCCTGATTTGAAGATGATCCTTGGTTTGAAGATGATCCTTGATTTGACGAAGAGCCTTGGTTGGAAGAAGATCCCTGATTGGAAGACGATCCTTGGTTGGAAGACGAGCCCTGATTTGATGACGATCCTTGGTTCGACGAAGATCCTTGATTGGAGGAAGATCCTTGATTCGACGAAGATCCCTGATTTGATGAAGATCCCTGATTTGAAGATGATCCTTGGTTTGATGAAGATCCCTGATTGGAAGAAGATCCTTGATTTGAAGAACTGCCCGTGCCACTAGCCATTGCCTTGCACTGCTCCTTCTGTACATCAGTTGGATGGTTGCAACCTTTCGTATCAGGATCCCAGACTGTTCCCGGTGAGCAATCGAAGGGGACCGTATTAAATCCACCATTATCATTCTCTACACAGCGATAGAATCGAGCACAGTCCCTTTTATCTGCCAAATAAGTTTCCGTATCCTTGCATTCACCATCAGGATTGGATGGCTTAGAAGGCTTGGGAGTTGTTGATTGAGTGCTGGAACTATTGGTGGACGATTCGTTGTTAGACGATGAGGATGAGCCTTGATTGGAGGATTGATTGCTGGATGAGGTTTGATTGCTGCTTTGATTGGATGATTGGTTGCTGGAAGAACCTTGATTGCTGGAAGATTGATTGCTGGAAGATTGATTGCTGGAAGAGCCTTGATTGCTGGAAGAACTTTGATTGCTAGAAGAGCCTTGATTGCTGGAAGAGCCTTGATTGCTGGATGAAGATTGATTGCTGGAAGAGCCTTGATTGCTGGAAGAGCCTTGATTGCTGGAAGAACTTTGATTGCTAGAAGAGCCTTGATTGCTGGAAGAGCCTTGATTGCTGGATGAAGATTGATTGCTAGAAGACTGATTGCTGGATGAGCCTTGATTACTAGAAGAGCCTTGATTACTAGAGGAGCCTTGATTGCTAGAAGATTGATTGTTGCTGCTGGAGGAGCTTCCACTGGATTCCTGTCCCGAACTGCCACTTGAAGATCCCGATTGTATGTTGCATTTCTTCTTTTGGTCATCTGTTGGCAGATCGCAGACCTTGTCTTCCTGATTCCAAACAGTTCCTGGTCCACAGGTGAAAGGCACTTGCTCCAATTTCCCATCCTTGTCCAGGCGACATCTGTAGAATTTGGCACAGTTATCTTGGTCGGGTATATAGGTATTTTCATCCTCGCATTCTGTGGCTGTGGTGGGTTTGTTACTGGAACCACTGCTGGTTGAGTTTTGATTGTTGCTGGAGGACTGGTTGCTGCCGGAATTTTGACTATTGTTCGAGGATTGGTTACTGCCAGAGCTTTGGTTTTGTTGACTGCTGGAGGACTGATTGCTGCCAGAGCTTTGGTTGCCGCCCGAGTTTTGAGAGCTTTGGCTGCTACTGGCGCTAGTGCTGGATTCCTGGTTACCGCTGGATCCCGTGTTGGATTCCTGATTGTTGCTAGAGCTTGAGCTGGACTCCTGATTGTTGCTTGAACCCGAGCTGGACTCTTGATTGTTGCTTGAACCCGAGTTGGATTCCTGATTGCTGCTAGATCCTGTGCTGGATTCCTGATTGCTGCTAGACGAGGAGCTTGACTGTTGACTGCTGCTGGAGGTGGAGGACTCTTGGTTTGAGCTGGAACTGGACGTCGAGCTGGATGTAGAGCTTTGCGAGGAGTTTGAGGAACTGGTCGAGGAGCTCTGCTGGCTGCTGGAGGTGGAGTTTTGGAAGCTGGACTGCGAGGACTGTGTTGACGTTTGGCCGGCATTATAGCCGTCGTTTTGTGGCGCCGCCTGATTGCGGCAGCCACCGTTGGCACGTACGTCAAACATGTGGTTACAGGACTGCAGGGACTCGTCCCACGCGGTGCCGTCCGAGCAACGGAAACCGATTTTGTTATAGCCCCGTCCGTTCGAGATGCAGCGATAGAACACGGTGCAGTCGTTGGGATCGCTCTGGAAGCCATCATCACGGCATATCACACCGTCAGTCTCCTCCGCGGAGTCAACAGCACGCAGCCCCGACGACGACGGCGAGCTGGAGAATGAGATGACAGAGACGCCGCTGAGTCCTGCCAGGCCATAATTCGTGGGCAACCGGTGGTTGGAGGCATACAGGCGCAGCTCATTGGCCGCAGATGTGACGGCCAGGTTAAGCATAGCATTATGCTCGTCCTGTCCATAGTCGTCCTGTTCCCACCGCTCCGCGCTTCCGTCCACCTCGTTCATCTGGTCCACGCACTCATCTCGCCCGGCCATCGCGGGTGGCAGACACATTCGCAGTGAGCGTGAGAAGACCGCATCCTCGGGACAGGCCAGCAGGTAGGGTTGAATATATTGGCCCGACCGCCGCTCGCAGCGGTAATAAATCCGGCAATCGTAGTCGTCCGCAAACAGACCCTCGCCCGGACAGTAGAAGGCCACCTCATCTGTGTGAACCATCGGCAATGGGATGTCTGCAATGAAGTACGAAATGAAGACATTATTGCTTTTTGCTGACTTTATGAAAGGGTGCTATACAGGGAAGAGGCTTTAGACATGATCATAAAACTATAAGGACATGAATTGAAGAGGAAATATTAATAATGATAAAAATTGTTCAAAAATTTATATGGTTTACAGTAAAGAAACTCTGAAGTAAATTACTTGACCAATTGTTAAGTAAAAGTTACTTTCTTTTCTTTTATTTCCCATTCAATATTATCAAAAATAAGTACTGCTTTTTGAGCTCGTTTGGAATTTGTTTTTGAACCGCGGATAGTAGTATCAATCTATAAATTAGCAAGCCCTTTTCTGGGCACTCGTATATGTAGATGTCCTGGCAATTTGAAAGCGGCCGCTGGAACAAACCATTGAACTGAAACTTCCTGTCGCAAATTCTCTCGCCTGCATATATTACACACGCATAGTACATGTATGACGAACACATCCATCTACATAACATATAGTAGATATATACATATATATATATTTTGCTCAATTTCGTTTGACATTTTGTGCGCTGGCTCGTCTTTCGTTTTTCGTTGCGGGATTTTTCGCGCTGTCAAAATAAAATTGATAATTTATTGTCATTCAATGTGCGAGAGTCCTCTTTTTCGATATATTTTTTTTTTTTTGTTTGGGGTCTCTCCTTGTTGGTGGTGTTGGTGCTGCTTTCCAATAAATTTAAATGCATTTATGGCCGTTACAGCGGAACAAATTCATTTTGAAAATGAATTGCGAGTGTGTTTTTCTTTCACGATGTTTTTATCCCGCTTTACAGATTTTGTGGAGCCAGCCCATTTTTAAGTGTTGGCCATAAAGGCAGAGGGGGGGAAAAGGTTGGCGAAACATTGTAAATGCGCGGCTAAAAATTAGACCGGGTCTAGGCATAAATTCACATCAGTCACGGCCTACTCCTAATAATATATCTCAGTTTGTATTTTTTTTTTTGCTCCGCCCCAATGTAATATTATTATTGGAGTTTGTATGTAAGCCAATGGCCAATGGTTTATGGGCTCAAAATGGCCCGGGGGCCTTTATATATTCCTTATGAAAATTGCCAAATTTAATGGCCATAAAATTTAATTATACCAAATGTGGTTATGCCGGGCAGACGGCAATAATGTTTGCATGGCGAAAAGTGTGCGAGATTGATGGAAACTTTCGAATGCCAGGTGCGGGGGTGGATGTGTAAAAGTTTCCAAGAAATTTCATATAGAATTAAACGATTAGCAGAGGATAGCTTTTCCAAAAGTAAGCGAATTAAGAGACTTTTAATCTTCAAAAACTTTTATTATTTAAATTTTTAAAAGTTCATTTATGTTGCAAATTAAAATGGCATAAAATATTGTAATATATCGAATTCCTTAAACAGCAAATAGAAAACAATATCTTTCAAGTGTGAAATCCGAGCAAAGAGTAAAGTTTTTTAATGACAGAATAAAACTTTACATTTTATTGATTCTAAAATAAACAAGAAGTGCTGAAAATGAAAACGAAATTCTATTTAAATTTTTAATGACCAAACTCCTCCTCTTCCCCCCCCTGGGTATGGTATTTATGTGTACATCCCCCATTTGCATCAATGGTAAAGCGCTTAAATTTTAAATGTAACCTCTTGCCGGCCGGCCGCAGCCGAAAATCCAGTAAACTAATTTAATAGAACGCCTCACAGCACACGGCTTGGCTCGCTGCTCGCTGTTCGTTGGTAAACAAACATAAAGTTTCAATTTGTACACGGAGGCCCAAAAATGCTAAACCCATTACACAGATGGCGGCGGGCCGGAGGATAGGATGGACTGGAATGGGATGGGATGGGGGTGAGTGTGTGTGTGCAACAGAGGATCCTTGTCGTCGTGTTCCAACGTCGAGGGAAAATTGACCGTTTTACGATTTTAATTATATATGATGTGTACTTTAGAACTTATGCAAAATGAAACGAAAGGCGAGCGCGGCAATCCGACCGCAAACTTATGCGTTGTCCCCCCGTTCACCCAACAACGAGACACGTTACCCTACAGAGAGAAAAAGGATCTCTAAAAAGGATCTTTCAGAACTTTAAGAAGAAAGATGTGATCGTTTTAGATATATTAAACTGGAGGAGGTTCCTAAAAGACTTAATAGGGTTTAGTTATAAAATTAGAAGGTATTGAAGCTTAAAAATGTGTTGCAACATCTATCTAAATAATATATTTTTATCACTCTCAGACCTGTTTAAGTAAGGGTACCACACTTTTTCTGCCTTGCCTTATCAAGATTCATATCAAAAAGTTAATATTCCTCAAGTTGCCATTCTATTACTAACTTCAACTTTTGTTCGTGTGTAAGCATTCGGGCCATATTCCCTGGCATCTGGCAACCGGGAGCAGGCGTAACATGGTTAGCCACAATCTGACCGCAAAGCATGGCCGCAAATAGTTTCGGATATGGCATTGCCATTTCCACCACGGCCCTCCTGCCCATTAAAACGCCGAAAGCAACACCCAGTTCCAGACCCCGGTCCCCATTTGCATTAAAATTTCAATTTTCAACATTTAAGCACGTTACGGTTTACGAAAATGTAGTTATAAAAGCATGCATAAGTACACGAATTTTGGCTGCCGCCCGTTCGCTTCTCTGTCAACGTAGGCATAATTTTCATAGGGCCAAATGACAAATAGTGATTTTCTATTTTTCCCTTTATTTTTCCTTTTTAATTAAATATTTATTGAGCGGCTGGTGGTTGTGGTTTAATGTTTTCCACCTCCCCCCCTCCACTAAAGAGCTGGGGCTGTGTCATTGAGTCTGCTTCGTTAAACATTTAAATTTTCATTTGATAAATAGAAAACACTGCGAATTCTTCAAATTTGAAAACAGTAATTTGTGTGATTTTTATAGTTGTAGTTGTTTGTTGTGGCGGTGGTTTCACAAAATGCCAACTTGGGACATTTAATCGTTCCATTGGCGCTTCGGGCAGTGTGTGTTTGTTGCAAGAAGTCAGAGTAAATGTCCCTTAATTAGTCATTAAAAGTTTCGTCATTATATTCTCCGCTTGATTGTGTCCTTTTTCAGCGTTTCTGCAACCGCAGGGGTTTTTAATTTGAACTTGTTCAGATAGTGATGATTTTAAAGAGGTTTAAATAGGCTTTTATATATAATTTTAGCCTCTTTAAAGTTGCATTTTAATATTTTTAAACTATGATTAAATGATGTATATTTTACTATGTACTCTAAAGATTTCAATGATGATTTAATAGGCTTTTATATAACATTTTCTTCCTAATAATGTTACATAATAACTTTGATAAATATTGTAAATTCACTAGTTTTCCATTAGCATTAGATTACATTTAAATTCTGATTGGTTTTGGCCGACATCAACATCTCCTTTAATGATTTTAGAGACCTGATTCTATTACTCCAGCTTGGACAGTGCCATAAAAAAAGGCGAATTGAAATGTCAGTTACCGGCTTGACATTAGCTGTTTGTCGCATCCTTTAATATCCTTCACCCAGACTCTGTTTTTCTCTTCATTTTACCAACTGAAAAACACTCCGGGGGCTTGTAGTTGCAAGTTGTAAATATGATATTTGGATTTTCGAGCTCTCGCCCAGCGTCATCGGGTTGGCAACTCGGTAATTTCATTTGCCTCTGGTGGCATTTCGCCGCTGTGCCTTCCAATGTTGAAGCCAACGTATCCGTACGTGTTGGCCAGAGTCGGAGAGTCTGTGAGTCCGGATGGTCCGGTTAGTCCTGGCTCGGCTCTGGAGCCGTATTTTCGTTTCAAGTGCATGTTTATGCCACGCCCATTTCATTCTGTTCCGCCAGCACCGCTCAAATTTCATGGTGGCAAATGACCAGCTACAGGAAATTCAATTTATTATGCAGCTTGACAGTTTTTAGCCATTCTCTCTCTAAGATGACAGCTGTTTCTATGGCTCCAGCTCTGGCTGCTGCTCCTGCTCCGGCTCCGGCTCTGGCTCCCTTTGCCCGATCCTGTGCTGCCTTCTGACAGCTTTGGTGGATGAAAATGAAACAGAAAATAAAAATGAGCGAACTTCTCGCGCTAATTCTGGCATCTGTCGGGCTTCATTTCGGAGTCTCCTATATTTTTTCCAAAGCCTTCCTTTTTTTTTATTCCAGGCAGCAGCCATCAGCATTGCCATCACCGATTTCGAATGGGATGCGCCAGATGCATTTGAATTTCGCGCTGCGCTGCGCTCGAGCAGATTTTAATATTGGCAAACGTCCTTGAGGACTTTGGGACGCATCGATTGTTCGCTCCCAGCGCCTTTTGCTTTGGCCAGCAAGCACTTTCAGTCATTACTCATACGCAGCGTGTGACACAATCGCCACTATGCATTATTCATTGCGATGCGGCTACGGTGGATAAACTTGTCGGAAAAGCTGCCGACAGCTGGCAGGGAAATGTTAAATATTTAAATGGGTTCCCTCGAACCGTACGGAGGCGAGTCACGCTGGCAGATGCCTTTAACTTGAAGCAATTAATTTGAATTTGAACTATTAAGAGGCATCAGCACTCCTTCTCGCCAGGAGGCAGAATGGTAGCAGTGGGTGGTAGGTGGTAACCTTATTCTAGGACCTGCCATCGTGCCGGTAAATTAAGCATAAAGCGCTTTTAGTTACAATCACGTTCGTCTCACTTAAACTACATTAAATTCAATTAGCAGGCAACAGGAACACGAAATGAAAGCAACATTGTCATTACGGTTTCAGGCGATGGCAACTAAGGTACACTGGGAAGAATTTAATAAGAATTTACTTGAAAATTGTACTAAATTTTCAGGAGAAGTGCTGGCTTGAACCAATGAAAATAATAAAAGCATCATATTTTTAAAGTTATAAAAACTGGAAGTAAAGATTTAATATTAATATTTCTAGTGCTCAACTTTTTTAAATATTTTGTCTTATTATAGTTTTAGTAAGCTCTTCGCTCAGTGCAGGAAAGACAACACCCGACGTCTTCTGGCCAAG